TGTCTCGCCTCCATCGGATGTCTTTTCTTCTTTCCTTCTGTATTCATCCCACCTTTTCAGTCGTCTAGTGTTTTTCATGCCCATCATTTTGATTCTGCTGGAGCCCATTGGACTGCTCTGATCATAGTCTGTGGGCAGAAGCAGTTAATTCACACCTCCTGCTGCAGCACAGTTGCCGTGTGAAATGCTCACTATAGTGTGTTTATGAGCCATGAAGACTCAATCAAGCTGTGCAATACAACTGAACTGGCAAATTAGCTACGATATTGCTGTCTTCATTTCAACATTTTCTGTGCCTTTTTTAACTGGAGCTGTTTACTGCAGCACTTAAAGAAGAGGACTAGAGTAATATTTCAGAATTTGAGTTTGCTCAATGGATGGCAATGCCTAAAATATCTCAAAAACTATTGGATGGATTGCCAAGAAAGTTTGTACAGACATTGATTGTCCCCAGAGAATGACTCTTAGGGATTTTAGGTATCCCCTGACTTTTCATCTGGCGCTACCATCAAGCTGACGTGTGGTTTTGGGCGAAATATTTTGACAGCTAATGGATGGACTGCCATGGAATTTGGCATTAGGACATTCATGTCCCGCTCATATCTCCTGACATTTTCGATGACCAGCAGGTCAATATTTGACTTTGTCCAGTGCTTATGAACAACCTGAAAAATGAATGACACTCGCCCATCAGCCTCAGCTCTCCTTTAAAATAAAGTGTGTGCATGTCATTGTGAGTATGTTAGCATGCTATTGGTAGCATTTACTTAAAAGCACTGTTATGCCCTAATGCAGCCTCACAGAGCTGTTAGCAATTGCTGTAAACTTATTTCTTGTAACACTTGTGCCATCCAATGAAATACAGGTTCTATAGGAATTCCAGAAAATGAAGCCCTAACCACAAATTGTCGGAAGCATCAACCACATGATCAAGAAATTCTTTTGTTACGTAGCTTTAAGGCTTGTTAGTCACAGACTTATAATAGCCGTGTCATAGATTTGCAGTTTGTTGCCTAATTTGTTTCCCTGTGCTACTTAACTTGTGATACTGCTTCCGAACAATACAGTATTTATTACGGTCGTAGTTCTTTGGTCCCAGCATGGTATCTTGACATGAGATTTTAGCTCATTAAGTCAGTGAGATTATTCCTCAGCAGGCCTGGAGGACTCTGGCAGGTACTTCAGTCTCTCTCTGCTGAGGAGAAGATGCTCAGGTTGGCCGTTTGGCTGCGGGGCATCTGGTTTCAGCACCCGCCAGCAGAATGTGTAATTAAGCCCAATTTTCCCGATGGTGGCTGACATGTGCCAGTCACTGTTGGGCTCAGTGCCCTGGGCTAGACTAATCCCTGGCGGTGTGGTCACACCGCTAATAGGCTGCAGGACAAATCTGTTTATTTGACACCGGGTTCACGCTCACCTGGGTTTCTCATGTGCTTAACCTAAGACTGAATTTTGCCTTGCCTGTTCCCCAGTGCTCCATAAATAAACATAAATGAATGATCAAATATCATGAGTTTTGGTTCCACTGGAAATGTTGTTGGATATTGGCAAAATAAAAAAACCTTTACTTTGAAAATGTGCTGTTGTTAAATGAGTCGACTTGTTGACGTATGATTTGTGGACTAAAATATTTACTCTGCAAAGCAATAAAACTAGTTATTCTGGTTAGTCGTGATCTAGTACTGATAATAGGTTAGCATTTTAACAATTATCATGCATCCCTGCCTTTTCATACTTGCTTACCTGTCGGAGAGAGATGAATATGGATCAAACTGTCAATACATACTGGATTTAATCTGACATTTAAACGCATCAATTAACTTAATTGAGTTGATAGCTTACTCACTTGATACAAGACTTAAGGCTGAAAACTCTATTGTCTTCTGTTTGTGCATTTAATTGCTGAACTCATGACCTTTTGAAAATCTGAATAAAACACAGTGGAGATTTATGTTTAAGCCCAAATATTTTGGAAGTGGACTGTCTTTGTAAAATGTCTTCAGTGTGTGTGTGTGTGTGTGTGTGTGTGTGTGTGTGTGTGTGTGTGTGTGTGTGTGTGTGTGTGTGTGTGTGTGTGTGTGTGTGTGTGTGTGTGTGTGTGTGTGTGACTAACATCAGCAGACTAATGCAGAGAATATATAAAAAGAGGGAAAATGTTATTATCCTTCCTCCTCTCGTACTGGCCAGGCTTTGTACAAAACAGAATTACAGCCCCCCAGAATCTTTTTCAAACTTCAGCTTCATCCCGCTGATATTCCCTCAGGGAAATTAAGGATTAGCTCAGCCTTTCAAACAGGAATTCCTCAGTCAGTTCGCATGAATGTGCCCCCTCCCAAACCAAATCAACTCTGTTTTGCCCGTTGCCCTGCTATGGGTCTAAGCCCGTCCCTCAGTTAGGTTGGTTGTGAGCCGTAGTAAGAGGATGAAGTGGATTGTCGAGCACCACTCTGACTCATGCCCTTGAGTACCATGCTGCCAAAACGCTCTGAGGACGTAACACTTAAAACGGCTACTACAGGCAGCTCTGCTTATAGCGAATGAAACTCTATGACAGTGAAGCATGCATCTTCATTCAGAAGATATTTGATAAATGAACACCCATATTGCTTATTGGAGCTGTAAAAACATGGAAATAGAAACTAGGAGGTGACATCATATTGTGGTTTGTGATGTATTTCACCCCTGTTAGGTTTTCTTTGGTCATCTGGCTGATGTGACACAATGTTTGTGTTCCTGAGTGGCATTTTATGGCCATGACACATCAGAGGTTGCTGAGGAGGACCAGTGTGCAAATGCATCATACATTGTAGCCTTTATTCTAGATTTTAATATTGATGACTTTGAATATGAAATGGAAATCTTGCAATATGTCTCGTGACACATCTGACTTAATGGAGTTTTATCTAGCACAAACTAAGCAAGCAAAAACCTGTTGTGTCTCAAGAGATACTTTTTTTTTTATGGACTCGATTCCACTATACATATAACACAGAATATGTTAACATTTATATTGCAATGCCTTTTTAAAGTAAATGTCCTAATGTTCACTTGCATGACACAACAATCAATGCAATGGAATTAAAGTCGTTTTAATTGTGTTTCCGAACCTGTGGCGTGACTTCTAGCATTACTCTGGTAGTCTTTACTGCCATATGCCTGAATTTGTTTAATTCTCCAGTCGTAGTCGCTGCTCTGTTCATGTTTATGTTAATTTGTTTATGGGGTTTTTGCTGTAAGCCCTTACATAACTCTTTATCTAGGACAGCAACCAGAGGTCTGTTTCTGTCTCAGTTTTGCCTTTTGATGTGTTGGACGGCCACGCACAAGACAGGGTTGCTGTACTCTTAACTACAAAATTTGGTTGCTGGTTCTGGAGGAATGCACAGGATGTGTGAATGTGTGATGCCTTAAGAGCCGACATAATCGTAGCTCACACATTTTCCCCTCTCTAACAGAAAATTATCAATCCCCAGCATTTTCCTCTTACCACATTTTCACACACGAGTATTTCCTCCTGGCACACCCTGCTTTTGATGTCCCGTGTCTTCATGGCTGCCTGGCATGGTAAGATGAGACCCAGAAGGCCTGCTGTAAGAAATAAATGGCTTAGGTTATGACTAGTAGAGTGGTGCATCCCTGTGTGTCTGTGCTCTGCCAGGCCCATTGTTCTGCAGGCTATAGAGCCCTCCAAGACACTTATTTAATGAGACGGCTCTGACTGTGTAATTGCAGACTGCTTTGAGAGCTATTATGGGAGATGTATTTTAGGGGGGCAAAACAGCCATTACTGCGACAAAAAGTGTGTGTGAACCAAAGTCACACGTAGCACTGAAGCTGATATGAGGAGGCTGAGCATCATGCTCTCTACACACTGATTCTACCATGGATCAATTCATATTGTGTCTGTGAGGGTGTTCATCTCCTGGAGCTGATATTTGATTTGTTTTTGTACACTGAAAAGATTTGCAAATAGCCGATGCTGTTTCCTCCAAAGGCTTTTAGTCATAAAAATTACTTCAAAATCCAAGCCAGTCATAATTTATAAAGCTATCCTTCTGTCAGATCAGTAGTTTGTATTGGTTTTGAAACCGATTTCTATAATGTATCAAAAGCTATGTAAATAATAAAAAAAAAAGTAAATAAGATTTCTCTTTACTTTTTTCATTTTCTCTCCCATTCATGATTCATTCTCTGTGAGGCCCAGTGGTTTTGCTCCCATTCCCTTTCTGTTTGCCAAATGACTCTAGTCCCAGATATTTGGTTCACTAGTGCTGGGATTTCCTTGCCACATGATTTATTTAGGATGTGTTAAGGTCTTTCAGAGAGCCTCACATCCCATACTCTGGCAGTCCGTCACACCAGACATCCTTTAGCTTCTTAAATTACTCCCTCCATCTCTCTTTGCTGTCCCCTCTATCATCACTCTTTTTCCTCCTCACCACAGCGCTCTTTGCAAATTAAAAGAAACAAACCAATCTGAGCTGACAGCTGAGTTCAGCTCCAGTGAATGAGAGTGCTGGCCTAATGCTGGCCTACCTTACCACTTTACCCTATTCGGTGCATTTTGGCTCCGTCCGAATGCTTTGTTTGTTGTTGCTTACACTGCATAACAAAAGCCTATTTTACTTCAGGACTTGGCCTAGAATAACCAGGCTGAGGTTGCATGGAGTTACAGTAAATGAGACATAATTAGCTCGTCTTAGCTGCTCAGTGCTGATAGAGTTTCTTTTCCTTCCAGGTTATCTGGTTTGATACTGCTTCTGGCATGTGCTTCTTCATTCCTGTCCAGAAATAGAGTGCATCAATGTACGCAACCACCTGTGTGTAGGTGGGGTTGGGCTGTGATGTGAACTAGGTACCGTTTGGAGCCCCGAGATAGCAATCAAAACAGAATCAGTCACACCCACAGTTAAAGACTTTGCAGAGGGATAGGCGGTGTTTGTTTGGTGTGTTTTTGTGTGTTGTGTTTTGTGCTTAACAATCCTTTCTATTCTTAACAGCATCTGGAGAGGCCCCAATGTGAATTGTGTGGACAGCACTGGATACTCCCCTCTCCACCACGCCGCCCTTAATGGACACAGGTAGATCAGTGATAAATAACTCTAAGAATTGGGGGGGAAAAGGTCTGAAACGGGCTCCAGCTCCTCTGTTTATGCTCTGCATTAAATGAGGTCTGCCCTCACGGACAATTGTCCCTCTGGGAAGGTAAAGCTATTGATTGGCTGCTTGTTAAGGCCTTGTGTATTTATTAGTGTGGTTTATATCTGTGGCATTTTCTGACCCGCCATGTCCCTTCATTCATCTGTAGCGAGGTAGTGGAGGCGCTGCTACGAAACGAGGCCTTGACCAACATTGCTGACAACAAGGGCTGCTACCCTCTCCATCTGGCTGCGTGGAAGGGAGATGAACATATCGTCAAACTGCTCATTCACCAAGGACCTTCACACCCCAGACTCAACGAGCAGGTCTGGCACTGTGTGTGTGTGTGTGTGTGTGTGTGTGTGTGTGTGTGTGTGTGTGTGTGTGTGTGTGTGTGTGTCTGTGTGTCTGTCTGTGTCTGTGTGTCTGTGTGTCTGTGTCTGTGTCTTTTTCACTCCCTAGGTTCCAGGATTCAAACACATTTACTAATGCTGGTAATATCATTGTGAAATGACATCAGTACTAAACAGATTTGTTCCTCCATCTGTTCGTAGTTTGTTAGACAATGTGAGTCTGTGTATGCAGAAAGCAAAACGTCAGCAGCGGCAGGAGTAACACTTTGCTTTTCAGCACATTTTCTGAACTCTAGTAGTTTCATAATTACTGTTCTAATGGTTTAGTCAGCAGCCGTAGGAAGTCAATCATTTTTCCACTTGGTAAGGAGGTCATTTTTAGCAATGAAATGCCACTTGGAGATATTTCAAATTCTACTTCAGCATGGCATGCTCTATACTGTATTTGAACATTAAGAATGTCAAAGTGATTGTCAGCAGATTTCATTAACCTCAGTGCATCATGAGTCTGACTTCTACTATGATACTTGAAGTGCTTTAACGCCATGCTAGCGTGAGAAGAGCTTGTTTTCCCTAACCATTTTAACTGTTTTAACTCATGTTTCATATTTTGTTTGGTTGCTTACTGCACAGACGGCCTCCATACCGGCAACATCTCTGGCCTCTCCTGTTTTGGGATGAGGAGAAATGACCCATTATGAGCTCCACAAATGTAGTCTGAACCATAAAATTTAATCAAACAAGTCACCCTCCGATATGGCAAAAAGTCTACCTGTCTCATGTTGTGTCATTTCTCCCTGCCTCTTTATGACATCTGATTGTTCATTAACTCAACTCAATTTTTTTTCTCCTTTTTTATTTAGTTTGACTCATTTGTGATCATCATTCATTTGTTCATTGCTTGTCTGAACCAAAACCATCGGCTTATCTTCTCTCCCTCCCTCCCAGAGCTCTGTAGACCATAAAGAGTTCAAACGCTGTGGGCCCTTTGACCCCTATATTAATGCCAAGGTGTGTACACGGTGCTGCCGAAACAACATTTCCTTTTGAAGTGCTTCTTTGCTTTCCTGCTGTGTTGGCTTGCTGTGCTTGGGTTTGGTTTGTTGCTGCTGCTTGCGGGGCCACTCTGCTGCAGAGATATGGGGAGGCTTTTAATTTCACAGACTATCGGTAGATCCCTGTCCTCTGGCTTTCTACTCATGTTCGCTTGTGATCTCCAACTTTATTGAGATGCTATGTTTCGCATAAGTGACACTGCACTACAACATGTCCTCCACCACAGAAGGTAATCTTTTTGCTACGTGTTGCAATGCTGTTGTACCGGTCTGTTGCCCCTGAAAGGTATGTCCTCTGAGGGCAACTGGAGGTGAATTGTTAGTCTGGATTTACATTTTTTTCCTTGGGGTGTGGGAGTGAATTTCACATGAAAACTTGTACAATATTCAGCCTGAAACAGCATAGTCGTTGGCACCACACATCCAGCAGTAGGAGGAAATATTGACTGATAGAAACCGCACTATTAATTAAAGCAATAACCATTATGGTAGTCTTCTGTAATATTGGCTGCTGGACACTGGTTGATTGTGTATTGCTACAAATTGAGGGCCAAATAAATGAATTGTGTAATGCTGTAATTAATGATTGTTGCTTAATAATTAGGATTGAATGAATTCATTATTTTTACTATACAAACAAACAAAACTACTTCAATTCAATCTGATCTATAGCTATAAAACCTGAAGTATCAATCTATTATAATACACATAGCAAAAGAAAAACCCCATTCTTTCGATTCGTTAAGCTGTACCCAACAAAATGTTATTTTTCACACTTTTACACATCTACCATGCTGATAATATCCTGAGTCGTGAAATGATGTTGATACCAAATGTATCTGTTCCACATTCTGTTCAGAGTTTGTTAGAAGAACACACATTTGTTGACTTCTTGTTTCATAATTACAGTTCTAATGCTTTAATCAGCAGCCAGCAGAAGTCATTTTATTTTTAGCAACGTGGCTCTTGTGATAACACTGTTGGATGGCCCACCATTTTGTTCCAGACTGAAATATCTCAAAAACCTTTGAATTGATTGTCATCATTTTTTCAGACATTCATGGTCCACAGAGGATGAATCTTACTGACTCTTCTAGCGCCACCATGAGGTTGACTTTTTTTTTTTTTTTAGGGAAATGTCCAGACAAACATTTGGATAGATTGTCATGGTGCTCATGGCTCAGGATAAATTTAAATAACTCAGATTATTGATTAAGTTTCCCTCGATCACCATCATCAGGTCAAACTTTTTAAATGTGTCTAATACTTTGGTTTATGACTAAACACGTGTAAAACAAATTAAATAACCTTCAGCCTCAGCTCTACTTTATGTTTACTTAATTAGCAAATCTTAGCATGCTAGCGTGCTAAACTTACATGGTGGACCCAGTAAACATTACTTACTAAACATTCGTACATTAGCGTTTGCATTGTGAGCATGTTAGCATACTGACATTAGCATTTGGCTCAAAGCACCTATGTGCCTAAGTACAGCCTCACAGAGATGCCAACATGATTGTAGACTCTGTTTTGTAGACAAACAATTATTTCTGAATGAATAATTTATGAACTGCAACAACAACTTGTTTTAGTGCTACCGGAATACTTTAAAAATCTATAAAATAACCCCTCAAAGATTAAACTAATTAAAAAATGATCATACCTCTAAGAAGACTCAGATTGAGGAGGGCAAACATGTCTTGGGAAACTAGGCACTTAATAAACTGCTCATAACCTGGGGACAGACCAGGAGGAACTTTTACTCCCTCATTAATGTGACTTATCCGGATGACATAGTATTCCATCAGGCCACCCAGGAAAGCTCCAATCACAGTCTGTCTACATGAGGAGGATGGCTGTTCAGCAGACATCTGACAGTGTCGCCCCTCACAGTTAGAGCAGTGCAAACATGTTGGTCGCTCTATGATTGCATTTTCAGCAGGCAGAGAGCTGGAAACCCACCCAGGCCTGTAGATAAAGCTGTACACTATTTTTGAACATTGTCACATTTTCCCTGGACTAATCTTCTTAGTGTTTGGATGGGAAGGCTGGCTTTCTTTAATGCTGCCTGCTATATATTGGAGTGTGACTTTTCCTGCCGTGGTTGTCTTACTCTCTTTTTCCATTTATTCTGTTCAAACGATTTCACATTGAGTCTTGTGGTCTGCTGAGATTATGGATGGTGTCTTAATGTAAACACTTTGAGGATAGTTTGGGGACCACTACCTGGTCATGATCCTGAATAATTGAAGCCTTGTTATGAATAAATCAGAAAAGTGGATGCGGTGTTGATGCTCTGGCCCTGGCTGTGGTCATGGTTGATGGCATCATGTGACTGAGTGGGCGGGGTGCCTCCTGCCTTCCCTCTTATCACACTCCAGGACCAGAGAGCCAGATCATGAGGAGGAGGAGGAGGATGGGAGGTTTTCAGTGTACCAGTCTCTTTGCATCAGCATCAAAGAAAGATTTCCATGCCATGCTTGTCTGTGCGAGTGTGTAAATGGGTGTATTGGCCCCTCCTCCTCTTCTCCCCACCTCCCAGTTTGTGCTTGAAAGCTTGCGTTGCTGAGGAGAGGAAGAGGTGGGACGTTGTCATAGTAACCGTGTCACAGCTTATTGGTTGTACAGTGCTGGGGAGTGACCCAGTGGTGAGATGTGCAGAGGGAGCTAGCCAGACATGAAAGGTGTGTGATGGGGCTTTAAGAGGGGTCCGGGACTCACGGTCGATTGGGGCTTCAGTGGTCCCCTTCAGGGAAGCTCAAGGGATCAGTCTGGACTGGGTCCAATTCTGTCATCCTGGTCCAGGAAGCCAGCCAGACCAAATGTTTATTCATTATACCTCTCTGTGCTCTCTCCTGCTGATAGCGTCCTGAGTGGGTTGGCCACTTTGATGTTTCATTTGCCTCAGTAGGGGAGAGCCAACCACTCACTGCAGGACCTGACCTCAACGACCCCGCCATTTGGGGTAATACAGGTTCAGTGCATACTGTTCAAGAAAATTTACTGAAAAATAAGTTGTAGACACTGGAGCTGAAATGATTAGTTCATTAACTGATTAGTCAAAACCGTTAATACCGATAATCGATTTGCTGCAACTAATGATCTTTCGTTATGGATTATGTGCTTGTCAAAATGTCCCAGGGTGATGTGGTTTCTGGTTTTATCTGATCAACACTAGAAAAAAAACCTGTTTCCTATTGCATAACCCAATGAAAAAGCAGCAAATCCTCAAATGTGTTCGACTAATTGATTAATTGTTTTAGCTCTAAACATATTAATTGGTAACGTAATTTTTTAAGCAAGTTTTATCATTGTGAATTTGATATTTGGGTCTTGAACTGAAATGAGACATTTAAAGACATAAATAGAGAGGAGAATCTGTAGATTCATTGATAATAAAAAATAATCCTTAGTTGCAGTAGACTCCTTTTTGTGACAGATTTTATTAAAATTATATTTGTTGTGAAGAATAATCTCATATAAGGAAGGAGGTCATAAGGCTTATCTACTAATTTTAATACTATTAGTCACAAAACAACACAAAATAAATATATATGAACCCACCCCCAGCATTTGTCTTCATTGACCTCTTTTTTATTAATTAGTATACATTCTGTGTATTACTCCATAATAAGATTTAGCCGTTGGTCTGCCCAGACTCATATCACGCTACCTCTCACACTGGCTTCATCTTCCTATATAGGTCACATGTCTAATACAATATATTTTTAGATGAGTTCCTCTGACCCAGGCTCAGAAGTCCGGGTGCTCTGTCATTAACGCAAACTCAAACAATATCATGCACTGTACATTACCCTGGAAAAATTCAAACAGAATAAAATTGATGGTCAAGAGATGTCAAATATGTGACGTTTAATAAAAATATGGCAAAATGTTTTAGTTTGGGACGGATATATGCTCATATACAGGCTGGAAGTGGATCATATGTCTTTCTGTCAGGCCTGGTGTGTAGTATCTCAGAGGGCTGACATAGGAAAAGTTTCTGATGGCAGCCGCAGAAGTAATTTCTTCGGACTTGGTCACCTCATTATCAGTGGAGCAGAGTTTCCCCTGCTTCCTCTAGGCACGCTTGCAGTCTGCCAACGCGCTCATTTATCCCCTCTGTCACTTCAGTGTCCAGCTCTTCCCTCAACAACACATCACACACCCCTCCCTTTACCTTCTGCTCTCTGCTCGTCCTCCAGGACTCGTTCTTGTTTCTGTCGTGCCAAGAAATGGTTGAAGCCCATTTGACAGGCCCTTGAGAGGACGCGTTGTTATTTAACACAAGGATCTGGATTTCTCCATTGTCATGTATTCACATTTGCAAATTTTCAGGGTGTGTCTGCTATGGCAGTTGGAGCCATTTGTTGCTGGTAAAGGAGAGTCTCAGAGCAGAGAAGGTATCTAAGATCTTAAAGGCTGTTAGGTTTGTTTTGTTAGGAAAGTGTGTCCCATTTAATCAAGTGGAATATGAAGGGGAAAACTAATCTTTCCTGTAAAAGGGAGAAAAAGTCCACTCAACAAAGAATTACAGTCTGTGGCAGGAAGCCAGTTAGACATTCATCTCATTACAGGACTGCACGGCCTGTTTACTCTGGAATGCGTGACAGTGTCCAAATAAAAATCCACTATTAGAGTCAGCCTTTATTTTATTGTTGCTGTGCATTGAAGGGAAAGAACATTTTGGGAATTCAGATGAGTATTTACACGGCTATTGACAAATGGAGAAAAATACCAGAGTTGCAGTTAGTAGAGTTAGTTTTTCACAATTTCCCAGAACTCGAGGCGATGTCCTTTTGGATTTCTTGTTTGGTCCGATCAACTGTCATAAACTCAAAGATATTTAAAACAATAAAAGAAAATATAAAAAGAAACATAACATGTTTTACTTTTTAGCATTTATTGGCTGTACATAAACATTTAATACATGGTTTATAACACACTGTAATGTAGTTGTAAGTAGATATAGATGGTTATTAATGTGTTTCTCAACTATAAATCCTGTAGACACCCTTTATTTGAGGCTGGGGTAAAAACAAAAGCAATATAGCATTATAGTTATAATTGTTAGCAAATACTGTACAACATGTATCCTTATATCTGATTATAACTACTGTTATATAGTGTTTTATTAACTATTCTTTAAATGTTTACATAGTGCCTATAAATGCTAAACAGGAGGGGGTGCTACCATAAAAATTGTCCAGGTTTTGAGACTGCCACCGGCATCATGGGCTTCTTATTAACACTTAACTGGACAATCATTGTTTTTTATTTTTGCTCGTTGAAGAGCACCTGATTTTTTGCTTCAGCATTACAAACTCCATTGTTCCTGAGCCAGTGAAGCACTCCCTGTTTTTTCTTCAAGATTGTACAACGAACAAATGGATAATGATTTTCTAACAGTTGTTTAACCCCATTACAAACTGAAAATGGACACCTTCTTGTGCGCGTGTGAGATCCAGGATTTATATGAATTTGCAAAAACTAGCAGGATTTCAGATTGTGACAGTGGAGGCAGGCATTCAGTGAGCATGGGCAGCCCTTTGGCACACGAGCTGCAACAGCTGCTCAGCCCACCCCTCCACCACCACCACCCACCACTACTACTACCACTACCAGGGGCCAGGGTGACGTAACCGCTGCCTCGCTCTGCTGCCAGCGAGCACGTCACGTGACTGAGGTTGCTAGTCAAACCGTGTTACCATCTCCCAGCTCCAGGTTGTGAGAATCATAACATCCTCCGTTCCCTCTGTCACTCTGTGCGCCTCTATCCTCCTCCTCTCCTCTCAGAATATTCTGCAGCATGAAAACACAATGGAGTGTAATCTCCAGATGTTTCTGGTTAGGGCAGGGTTTATCAATCAGCAGCAGACACCAGTGGAGATCTTAATCTCTTCTTGTTTGACATGCACTGAGGTCTAAATCAGGATGAGGTTTTATTCTGTCTGCAGCACAGTAAAGGCAGGATTTTCATAAAAACATGTACTGTCCAGGAAGTCTTGGCTGTGCCATATGAATTCTAATCTCCTTCCCCAGCCAGGCTGCTAGTCATTGGTGCCATTTTGTGTAATAGCCTTCAGAGTGCTGTCTTGTTAGTACACGATTGTTTGATTGCTCATGTGGGCTGTGGTAGTACAGTGGAGATAAGGCTGAACCTGTTCCTTTTTATAGAGTGAGATTTCACGCCGGAACTATTTGAGCTGTTTGAGAATATAAAAGTGTTGCACTGAAAATCACAAATTAATTTAGTATGTAACAATGTTATGAAGAGTTTTGTTTTTTTTTTTTTCTTCGCTGCAGGGCTATATCGGTCTGCTAAAATTAGTTTCAAACCAGGCTACCCATTTTTAGTTCCCCCTTTTTAATCACAGAATGCTTTCTCTCATAGTCTTATATGTGCAACTCCTGCCTGCAACAGCAATAAGCTAGACTGATGTTTAAGTAGTCGCACTTTAAGTTGCAGGAGCAGGAATTTTCCATGACTTTCAATTAAGAAATCAGCACCAATGTTTCTGACATCTGAGAATTTCAAGTGCACATACAGCATTTTGCCTGGTTATTGGTGCTGACAAGGTGGCACCTCATTATGCTAAACATACAAGGATCTGACATATATAATGCACATAAGTCAAACTTTTTCTAGACTTGCATATAATATGTTTCACCAGGACAATTTCAAAATATTACATATATGACCAAAAATGCATGGCCATATGTGCCCAAAGAAAAATGAATGCTGCTAAATGCTGTTTGTTCTCTACATGAATCAAAGAAATGACAGATAAAGAGTTAAAGTTGGGTCCATAATCTAAAGATACTCCTGGTCTGTCCCCTGTGGGATTGACTTTTATATGCAGAATATGTTTTTAATGTGTATGTGTTTAAAAATTAAAATCTAAAGACAAAACATAGTCAAAATTGGAGTGGTAGAAGTAGTTTTGGGGCGTGTTTGGGAGTTCCAGGAGAGGCCCAATAGTGGAAGACCCCCGTGTGACTAAAATGTGTAGCATGGCTTGCATCAAAAGGCGAGGCTTGATGTCTCATTGCTGCTTGTTTCTTATCAGTGTGTCAAGTAGCTAGTCAGCTGTGTTTAATGCAGTCAGATGCTGGATGACACATAGCTGTTGAGCAATGACCACTGCACTGACAGAGTTCAAGGTATCAGTCCACTAGGTCTCTTTTGTTGCACTCCTGTTTCATATTTTAGTAATAGCAACATTTACAAAATGTCATTGCACTGTTCTCAGAGACACTTGTTTTAGATGCTCTGTATACATCATTGTATGCTAGATTCACTTGGTTTACTATTGAAGCAGCAGACCTGCACATTTGAGGAAGTGAATCATGCTGCTTTAATCACAGCATGTATGTTTGCCTGCTGAAGTCATCTAAACATTCAGAGTCAATCTATCTAAAAAGCTGTGGCAAATGCTTGTTGGTGCATCATAGATGCAAGACGGCATGCTATTTTTATGTGCGGCCTGGCCATTTCTCTGCAAGTGAGCGTACATGTGAGTTTGTTTTGAGTCCAAGAGAGCATTGTTGAAAGGAGAAACAAGAACATAAATCCAACTGATGAAACCACCCAGGCAGTGAAAACAGAGGTCACTTTGGTTTAATTCTCAGAGAGTCTGTTTTAAACCCTTTTTTTTTCATTTGTTTTGTTCAGTTAAGACAAGAGTGTGTTTTTCCTCAGCCAGGCTTCTGTGCTCCCTCTTTTGATAGGCAGGTGTCGTTTTGTTTCTCTAAGCTCCACCTCCTTTCTCTCTCAAGCTGTGACCTGATTTGCCAGTATAGTACAATTTTCTCTCTCTCTCTCTCTCTCTCTCTCTCTCTCTCTCTCTCTCTCTCTCTCTCTCTCTCTCTCTCTCTCTCTCTCTCTCTCTGAATCCCACTCTCTCCCTCTTACAATGAAGGAGATACCTGCTGATCCCATCTGGCGCCAGGTCTTTGTGAAAGTCTCGTTGAAGGGGCGACTGACACCTGTCTAAAACTGCCCTGTTGCCCCCTCCACACGATATCCTGTCTGCCGTGGCACAGCTGGCAGGTTCCGCTGGGAGTCGCCCAAACTGGCATCATGCATGTCCATGTGGGGGCTTCTCATGCCAGCTGTCCGGCCTTTGTAGGTGGCTCTGTGTGTCTGCGATGAAGGCCTCTTGGAGCATGTGGTTCCACAATAGCTGGAATTATCTGCCACACCCATTTATGCACAATGTGTGAATAGAGCCAAAGAGCTGTAGTGTTATACAGGCTTTATTTGCAAGATTGCCAAGAATTACATGTTTGCAATTCTGTCACACCTTGAGAGACTGAGAACAGTGATTATAATTCTTTTTTCACTCTGCCACACTCATATTGTTTGCTACTATAGGCAGGATTTTATGGGTTTTTTTTCTGTTCTACTGTTCTCCCATTTTTAGATACAACCCAGCAGCAGAGTCGTAAATTCCGCTATCCATGTTGTCATTGTATTTCAGTTGTTGGTCAAGAGAGTATTCCCATGCCACCAAGTCAGCTTTCAGTTCAGCTCCTGTACTGCAGGGTTTGCCCTCTGCTGGCCGTTCGTGATAGAGATCATCAGCACTGCTCGATGTTCTCAGGTCTATTAGACATTGATCTCGTTGCTGCATGCGAGCAATTAGATCCAATAAGCAGCACTTACTGAGTTTACATTGTAATTACTGATTGTAATTACTGTTTGTCTGCTTGTCTGTTAGTCTGTTGTTCTACAGTGAAGATCTTTTTAAAATGTGGCCAAATGTTAGGTTGCAAAGATGAAATCATTTTCACAAAATGGATCACAGTGATGTGAACATTTTTAACATGCAGTCGTTCTTTCTCCGCTACCCCGAAAGACAATAGTCAAAATGCAAGTGGAAATGCAACACTGGTGTGCTCTGATGTGTGAACAGAAACAGTAGTGCCTGATGGATGTGACAGCCCATCTTGTAAGGACGAAACTAATGGGCCAGGTCTCTCTCGTTGTAACTAAACAATGCCAGTGACGTTCTGACCCCTTGTCCAAGTGGCCCATGTCTCTGCTAATTCCCCACCTGTCTCTGCCCCTCTGCTAGAACCCTGCTGCCCCTGGCACTCAGTGCCATTCCCAACACCTGTCCTCATTAGTCCATGTAGGTCTGCCAGTCAGGCACACCCCCTCCCCACTCTGCCAGATATTCCCCCCAGGCCTCACTATGTGCTTCATTCTGGTTGGTGCTTTCTCATGACCTTTTAATCAGCTAATGTGGCGGGCTTTGTGCACTGATTGGTTTAACCTCACGATGACTCCCCCGAGTCACCTATCCTTACTCATTAACAAACATGACTCAGCTCATGTCCCTTTTCTACTGATCTTCTTTATTACATCTACTTGTCACTTTTTTACCTGTCTATGTTGCCCTATGTCCCTGTGCTGCTTCTCACCCGTTCATCCACCCCCCAACAGAACAATGACAACGAGACGCCGCTGCACTGTGCTGCCCAGTATGGCCACTCCGGGGTGGTGCGGCTGCTGCTGGAGGAGCTGACAGACCCCACCATGAGGAACAACAAGTTTGAGACTCCGCTGGACCTGGCTGCACTATACGGGCGTCTGGAGGTAGTCAAGCTACTGCTCAGTGCCCACCCCAACCTGCTCAGCTGTAACACCAAGAAACACACACCGCTGCATCTGGCCTCTCGGAACGGACATCTGTCTGTGGTGGAGGTGCTGCTGGACGCTGGCATGGACATCAACTACGAGGTGTGTTGTTGTCTATATGTGTATGTGAACTTAAAAGTTTCAGTTTGCAAGTGTTTCTTAATATGCTGTCATGGCCCAAATCATGTTGGGTAACTTAATCTGTTCTTGCAGCACTTCCTCTTGCTACTTCCTACTAAAGCTATGAGATTAAATGTAAAACTCTTAAGCTCTCAGTTTGCAAAGGAACTGCAGTGGTATCAAAGCAGAGCTGGGCGTACTCCCCCTGGTGGGCCCTCTGGCTCTGACTCTGTACCAAACTGTGCCATCCATCTGTCTGGAGATACTTTCCGCTCTACTCTGTCCTCCTTTCCTCTGAATCAAGGATGGGGAGTCTATCCAGTGTCCTTCAGGCCTTGCATCCTGCAGGTTTCAATTAGCATGGCCCTGTGAGCTGGAAAATGATCTGCTTTGATTCCTCAACCACATAATTGTCAGTAGAGAAGTGGACCTGCGTGCTGGGCATAAATCCGACAGTCGCCATACACTGTTTATCTTACTAAAATATGGGTGCTGGAGTAGCTCTTATTATACGGATTCATCTGGCAATTGTTGCAGGAAACAAACGTGTGCTTTAGTTCCTTAATTTTCATAATAATTGTTTGTGTCACGCATATCTGAACTCTCTCTGTGCCTGCGACTTTATTTTTCTGGTTTCGTTTTCTGCTCAGACGGAGAAAGGCAGTGCCCTCCACGAAGCAGCTTTGTTTGGGAAGGCAGATGTGGTGCAGAAACTTCTCAGTGCAGGTCAGACTTCAGTGCCACTTAAATAACACTGGAATCACTTGCTGCTATTGGCAAAAATCCACACATAACACGTGACTGTTTTTTGCACCAAACTGTTCCTGTCATCATTCATCAGGTATCGATGTGAACATTTCGGACCAGAAGGGCCTGACGGCGCTGGACACTGTCAAGGACATGCCCTCGCAGAAGAGCAGAGAGATAGTTGCTCTCATCCTAGGTGAAGACCAAACGGGAAAACGGAGAACTGCGCTGGGAAGTGTCCTCTTGATTTCAGATTTACCAGCTGTGATACAATGTCCTGTTTGTCTGTTGCAGGTCACATGACTGGAAAACCCCCTGACATTGACCTTCCCCCACCACCAATCCCTCCGCCTCAGGAGAGTCCCAGCCCACGGAAAAAGGGTAAGATTGAACAGATGTTTGAGCTGTTGTAGCAGTGATTCAGTCAGCCGTTTTAACAGCAAACACAGAGCAGGAAAAAATGCAATAGAGGGTTATCTTTTAATGTGTTCACTTACGTTGTTTGTCTGTTTCTGTTTTTACAGGTGACCTGGAGAAGGTGAGCGAGTTGATCTCGGGGCTGGCCCCGAGGCCTGAGGAGGAGAGCCCGTATGAGGCTCTGTTTGAAGCCACCTCTTGCCACTCTTTGGACAGTCTCACAAGCGGCAAGTCCTCTGACAGGGACTCTGGACGGCCGGATAGTGAAGCTGGCAAGGTCAGCAGTAGTTTAACTGTAACCCACACACACACATGCAGGCAAAAATTGTAAGCTTGTCACAAGGTTTTATAGGAGATGAAATGCAGAACTCCCACTAGAGGGTGATAGAGGTCCTCTATCTACATGACTGGGCCTCAAACCCCTCCAGCATTAGCATTACTTCTTTTGGTACAGAGTGGGTATGCAGTACATTTCTTAACTTAGTTCTTGCAATGAACTCTTGGTTGATAGATTAGCAACTGTATATTTATTGCGTTTTATCTTCCTGATAATTTACAGAAAGATCGCCTGGTCCACTCATCACACCCTGGCCATGAAGAAGAGGTGAGCTCAAAGGTGACACGCTAAGATCATGAAGCCAAGAGAAACGTGTTGCCATCTAACACCACAGACATATGTGTCATATGTATTGTTGGTAGCACGGTGGATGTGTGGTAGATGCATAATCATGGCAGGATGGTCATGGCAGTACGACTTCCTTTCTAAAAGTTAGTTCTGAGGGATTCATTAATACAATGTCACAGGGGCTGTTGGAAAATGATTATCTGCCTCTGAGAAAGCCAGTGTTTTTTTGCCACAACCCTTGTCACAACTGTTCTCTTCACGGCCGCTGCTCAGATCAAACGACTTCTTAATAAATATTCATCTGAGTGCGGCGTGGGATAAAGGCAGCGGGGGCGTAAAAAGGAGGAGAAGTGAAGTGGAAAAGGAGTGAAGACAGAATCAGAGAACCTGCCTCAACTGTGGCTGGCCATAGAGGAGGCACTGTTGAAGGATTATTAAGGACACTTTATTTTATACCAAAACATAAACAACCAGATATTTGGATCCTAAATTATAACCTGCTTTGGTGAATGCTTAATAGTAAGTCATTCCAAGTTGTCATTGTGCATTAAATTTTTCTTTTCACCTTCTTACCCTCTACTTTCTCCTTGTCTCTGCTCTCTTTGTTTCTTTCTCTGCAGGCCCTGTATACTAATAGCAGCATTGATGAGAGAGGTGAGCCGGTGGAGGAGGAGGAGGAGGAGGATCACACGTATGAGTTGTTGCTGACTGCACAGACCAAAGTCCCACCGCCCAGCCAGGAGTACCAGTCCAATAAAGGTAAGTGTGCGCTTTAAGTGTAATCCAGAGGGCGGAAGTAATTCTATACAAAGTGTACTTTTGTGCATATGGGTTAGGGTTAGGGTTTTCTGTTTGTGGGAGATGTTCCTAGGTAAACTACATACCCTCATGTTACCACTTGGCGTATCAGTGACCCCTCATTCGTGCCAGGATTATAGCAGAGTTAGTAAAGAGCTGGGCTACTGTTTCCAAAATACTTCTTAAAACTCCACTGATGCTGTCTGTGCACAACAAGAACCCAAATACATTCCTAACCTAACCTACACACGGTCAACCGTTGCCATACACACACTTGTCTGTGTGTCGCACATGAGCAGAACCTCTTTTAGTTGTGGCTGATGAATGGCACTGCATGTAATTGGATTAAATGGGATTAAATTAGAAGGCCATTTGGATCCCTAGCTGTTGATGTTGATGTTTTAAAACCATCCCCTCGGGCCTTCCAGCTTAGTCAGCTTCACCGGCACCATTAGAAAACGTCACCGAGCTGAAGGGTTAGAGTTTAATCGCTGATGTCATCATGCCTCCCCGATGTGGATAAATGATGTTAGGAAAAAAGGGATTCTTTACTGTTTTGCTTCCACTCTTAAATTGGACAGAAATGTTAAACAATTCTTTTTCCGATCAGTTTTCAAACTGCTTTATTATGTCTGCATACTCAGCGCCGTTTTTAAATGGCAGGGAGATTAATCTAAAGACTTGTAGCCCGATATGTCGGCATGCATAATACATGATTTTATTATACATCGCTTTCTCGTAGCGTAATGTGTCTCCTGACAATCAGAACTGGCAATACATTGTCTCAAGATACGTTGAGTAATTGAGCTCTGAATGGACCAAGATAATCTTTCATCTGCCCAAACCTATGTTATCTATCTCCTTTAGATGAGAACACCACTACACAGTCTTCCAACAGTGTCCTACCTCAGGTAAATATAACATTCTTCCTTTCATCCTTCTCATATCTTTTACATCTTTTTGCAAATTTTACAAAAAAACATATGAATAGATTTTTTTTTTCTTTTTTTTTTTTTTTTTTTTTTTTATTTGTGTAATATTAAATTTTTATTGTTTTGCTGTTTGTTCTTTTGTTTCTTTGGTTGTTTTTTTTTTTTTTTTGTTTTTGGGGGGTGGTAGTTTTGACAGAACAGTTTCCCTGCTGCAGTTTTTAAATTGCATGACCATATAACCAGAGCAGCTTATATAATGAAGATGAAGGTCTCCTCACAGTCACAGATTGAGTCATATGTCAGCAGAAGGCAGAACTCATCTCAAACTGGCCCCTCATAACTGGGTGTCTGTGTAAACCTGCCTGCTTTATTTATTGTCCTATTATATATCATTTTATTGCCTTTTTCAATTTATCATCCAGTTAGTGGCTTTTATTATTGCTGCCACCCTGCTATAACCCCACCTGCTGCCCACAATATCTGCTCACATCTTTTACTTCAAGCTCCTATTGGATTAGCTGTGCTCCTCAGCTGCCTAGTAGTAGTAGTAGTAGTAGTAGTAGTAGTAGTAGTAGTAGTAGTAGTAGTAGTAGTAGTAGTAGTAGTAATAGTAGTAGTAGTAGTAGTAGTAGTAGTAGTAGTAGTAATAATAATAATAATAATAATAATAATAATAATAATAATAATAATAATAATAAATGAGCAGCACAGTGTCCTTTCTGCTTTAATCTACAGTCTTGTGAGCTGAGCCACATCATGGCTGATTTTGGTAAACCCACCACCAGTGCTGCCATGCAGGCAATCAGTTGGATAGCATCTTTGCTTCATGTTAAGCTAGCTAAATAATTAAATTTGGTTATTAATTGGTTAACTGCAGATGCTAATATGATTGTCTGGCAGCACATGAAGTGTTCATACATTTTCTCTTCTTTTCTCTCCCACTTCAGCGTAAACCCACTGCCCCAAACGACCTCAGAGCCCCAAGCAAGACGAAAGACACCCTGCACCCTCCTGGACTGGTGGGCACGCGGGCACCAGGAGGTGAGTTTGGCCACTGTCCTCAGATTTTAGTAACCTGATAAGAACCAACAACTGGTGCTGGCAATGCTGTGAGGGTAAGAGAAGATGGACTGGACACATCAGACCTGAAAAAGACAAGCCAAGCATGTCAATGAAATGGGAGAAATGCATTTGAGTTTGCAGGGTGAGATGGGCTGGCTTGGATTAGCGCTGCCAGGGAATGCATGACTGGCATTCTCGAGCAGCAGAGCAGATTTGGCTCGTCGGGAGCAGGCTGATTGACATTCCCTGGCAAGTGGGCAAGACTCGTTTAATTTCCAGTATGAAACTGAATTCTTGATCAGATTGTGACATTCCTATCTCAGATTCACATCCCGCTTAAAGCTGGATATGTCATGTCATCCAGTCAGAAATGGAGCAGAGGTAAGGAGAATGTCCTCTGGGTTTTTCCCAGAGGACATACAGATGTCTTTATTGAATAATTATTTTTGGAACTGTAGACAGAAGCATGGTAGGCAAGCTGGTTGTGTGTGTGCTGTTTATAGTAGGAACAAGTTGTTTTTTCTTCTTAATTTTGGGGTGGTTGGTTAATTCTTTTCTTGTTGTGGTTGTGGGAAAGAGTTTGTCCCACAAGAATTTATAGATGGGCTGCAGCAACATAATAATGGGTCTGTCTGAAAATATCTGATGGTAGTTAAAACTAAGAAGACCCATTTCCAGCATTGATTTTGAGTATTTAGTGTTGGTTTGGTGTCACTGCTCCTTTTATGTTGATACCATTGACTGTGCAAATGACCCTCAGACGAATAACCCTAATGGGTTTAAACATTAAAATTGATGTTTAATGTTCAACAAAAGCAGCACGTATATTTTTGGAACGTGTTTTGCTGTAAGTCAGTTTGACAGTTTTTGTTAAAACGCTGATGTTGTGCGGAGTGAGGGAAATGTGAAACACTTCATTTCCTTTTTCCTTGCATATTGTCCTTAGTGGCTCTAAAGTTATACTCTCCTTTCCCTTTTTTAAAGCCTCAAAAACCACAAGTTTGGTTTAAATGTGAATACCACTGTGATTTTTCTTCTTATTTCTTCTTTTCTGTTTGCACATCAGCAGGTTATGGTTCCCACTCTTGTGTTTTACATAAACCCAGACAGCTGGCAGAGCCTAAATATGGATGTGGTTTTCATTATGATTGAGGCCATCTGAGGTCCTGTGTGGACAGTCAGGGACCAGACCTTAGCACGCTGTAGCAGGTGGAGGAGATATATGCATGGTCAGCGATATCAGGGTGTTTATGATCTGTCACAAACACGTTGCTGTTCTCAGCAGGAATATAGTATTTCCCTGCAGATTTTCACCTTCGTGGCATGTGTTTTATAGGGTTTCCATTGGATTTATCTCACGAGTAGTAACATCCTATTATTCTCCACAGACAATAATACATGTGGGGTTTCCTGTAGTAGTTATGAACAGCGATAGTGAAGAACTTGCTTCTCATTCTTTTCTTCACACTGGATGTGCAGCTTTTGCGGTGTGTTTTCCTCTCATGCCAAAAAGCACTCGATCCATGGTTCATTCAAACCTTTGAATGGTTCAGAAATGTACAGTTTGTATTGTGGCTTTGAACTGCATTGCCACAGATGGATGCAGACAGGCTGAAAATGCAAAGCACCTGTTTTGCACCTATAACAACCATCATATTACATAAACGGTGAGCATAAAATGTACTCCAATTTTTCTGAACCATTGCCTTAACCATATGTACTATTTTAAGTACCATAGTATGCTTGTTTGTGATTTATCAGTTTTACTAATGTGCGTCCTTTTACATAAATTGATATGACAACCGGGTCTATTGTTCTTTATTGACTGGCACTATCAATAGCGGTATTTGCTTACTCACTTTACTGTAAATGTCAAAATATCAATAAGATTCCTTATTGGCTTTCTGCAGTACATGTCCCAGAGTTAAAAATGTCTTTGAATCTACAATAAAAACAGAGCAGAGTTTCCACAGGCAGAGCATGAATTGACTTTGGACTATGTAGATGGTGGAGTTGACAGCCAGCACCAGCACTGCTGTGTCTGCATAACAAACATGACATCATTGGTAAGACATGGAGCTCTTGTTGCCAAATGAAATACACATCCACACCTCTGTGGTGACCTCACCCATCTTTAAGAGCTGCAATAACATCAGATTGCGTCTGTGCACATTTTCCACCGTAGGACTGTATGAGTAGGGGGGCGCAGTGGTCTCAGCAAGGGTTAAACCCCATGTGAGATTGTTGGAACCACTATGATGTGCTCATTGGGCGTTCACACTCCCTGGCTGCCATAGAGAAGGGTGTGTGTTTGGCCGTGGTCCTGACATATGTGCACAGTACACTCACTCACCCCTGATTACACACACAAACACCCACACACACTTTCCCTAGACGTTCAAGTGTTTAGAAATTGTAAAAAGGGAGTTCAGGGCGTTGGTTGGCACATTCAAATTGCCCCTGAAACAGTAATGGGGCAGTTAGGTAAAGTCAGAGTGGGTTTGCGTGTCAAACAGTTGAGTGTACGCTTCCTCCCGTCATGTTCTGTAGATATGACTCCTTCGCAGCCACCTTGTTTGATGTGTTCAGTCTTTGAACAGCAGGTTGAGAGATAGCAGAGCTGAGACAGCCTCAAATGGTTAGCAGAGCGTCGGCTGAAACTCTTCTGTGAAGGACAAAACAAAGTGTTGCAACAGGTCACTACTTTTCCTGTGGTGTCACTGCCCCAGATTCCCTGTCACCAAACACCCTGACCCTGTCACCCTGGCAGAGACAGTCCAAACACACACACACACACACACACACACACACACACACACACACACACACACACACACCCTACATACACACTCCTTTACCATGTGTCACAGGGCTAATTATCAGGAGTCTGGCTGCTGGAGGATAGGGTGATTCAAATTTCCATTCCTGAGCCACCATTAGGGTCTAGAATTAGAAGCCAGAAAACACAGAGGGCTGCTGGTCACACGGCAGACAACAACACGCATCACTACAGTGTGAAGGAACTACAGGACCACGCATTGTGATCCTGTGGCTGATTTGATTGTGGAAAAGAGGCTTAGGTGGCAGTAATTCCTCAGAGAGAGGGCGGAGGAAAATCTAATTGTTTTTAATTGCTCTTGCCATTCAGTCTCATTAAGGAGTTGTTTTTGTTGGAGAAGGCAGCCGACGTAAGTTTCACTCCTCTTGGTGATATTTATAGTCTTTTTTAATTTTCTGTTGTATATTCTGCTGTGTTTGTTGTATCCTGTGGGTAGCAGTAGTAGTTTTCTCAGTGTTTGCATGAAAGTTTAGCTTGGGGGAAACTCTTAGTGTTGTGTCATTTTGGGAAAATGTCTTTAAAAGACAAGTAGGCCTGTGAGGTAAAGCTAGTCACAAAGATGACTAACTTCAACTCCCTGTTACAAAATATACGTGGGCAGTCAGGCACCAGCAGATAGTCGTCAGACGGCTGCAAGCTGGGTTTGGAATTCTGTTACTTCTCCAGCCAACATACGCCTTCTCCCTACTCTTTCTCTCCTCTCTCCCTCTTTTTCTGGTAGGAAAACAATTACAGATCTGTTTCTGGGCTTGTGTGGGCGGTTTCTTATTAGCCCTGCTCTAAGGATCTGCCCCTCACTTAGAGGTCCACTTTCGAGCACTCACAAACTAGTTTCTGTCTTCACTGACTTTGCCCATTCTTTTTCTTTCTCTAGATAACTCTCAGCTTAGCGAGGATCAGGGAGCAGGTGTCCCAGAGCAGTTCACTGGCCTCCTGCACGGATCCTCCCCTGTCTTCGACTGCCGCGAGGAGCCCTTCAGGCTTCCAGGTGTTGAGCCATCCACCCAGGTCCTGCCAGAATCAAGAAAATCTACCAAAGTAAAGGAGAAAAAAGCAACAGCTGCACCGCCACCTAGCCGTCCCAGCATGGCCGCCATCCTGACAGACTGTGACCCAAAAGCAATTTACGCAACTGTGAACAAGGAGCCCAGGGACTCAGGGGCTGGGGCAGGGTCTTCCGTTAGGATGCGACCTCCTGGGGACCTGAAGCTTGCACGTAGCCTCTCCAAGTCTGACTCTGACTTGCTCGTGTCGCCTCCTAGTGAGGAGGAAGGAGGATTGGGAAACCGTAGCGAGTCTGTTTCTAACTGTAGCACTGGCAAGAAGAGGCTGGAGAAATCTCCCTCTTTCACCTCAGAATGGGACGAGGTAAGTGTTTGGTCTCACCCTATTATATTGCTTCTATAGACATAAAGTACTTTTTGGTGTTTTAGCTTTTGCTTGTACTGTAGAGAGCAGAGTGCAGGTCAATACTGACTAATGAGAAAGCTTTTAAAGGTGTTTGATATGTCCAAATCGCATAATGTTGGGATAAAGTTTAACACCAGGAAGGAACCTAACATACAAAATCAATAAGACAAAACATATGTAAAAGTATATGTATATTAAAACTGAATTTAGTGTTGAGTGTTGTTTCTAAAAAGCCATAAGAAGCAAACCATTGATATTACGTGAAACCCATACATTATAGAGCCCTGTTGCAATAATACACCAATTCATAGACACATTTGTATGAGCATATTGTCTAGGATCTTGTGTCCTCTTGTTAGGCCTAAATCAGCTTGTGTTTGTGCTGCAGACATTTGTCCACAGCTACAAAACTGATTGAATGAAAACCTCAGTATCAACTGTAAACAACTCTGTTGACTGTAGTGAACTTCCACATACACATAGACTCTCCTCGTTCTGTCAACTCAAAGCCCACCTGTTGACTTGAGGGGGACGCTGTGCAATTTCAGCTCTACCTTGTTTTCAGGGCACACCTTCAGCAAACACAGTGACTGTGATTGAAAAAGTGTTTTCTACTTGTGAATGGTGAAGGCAGTAAGAATTTCTATTTTGCTTCTTATGTTCCACCAGAAACATATTGAATTATTGCATATTGAAATGTTACTTGGCCTTAAATGGATTTATTTTTATTTTCTCACTCCTGTCTTGTGTTTGTTATCACAGCGGATTTTCATAACTAAATATACCCCTCCATTCAGCACTTTAACGCTTTTGTCTGGAACGTAGATAAAAAGCTGCGTCGAGCCGCAGAGAGGAGAGATTAGAGGAGACAAGAAGATGGGGATAAAACGGCTGAGAAGCTGAGAGAGTAAGACAAGAGACAGAGATTTGGAAATTGAGATTCAGAGAGGAACATACAAGCTGCAGATCTGTCTCACTTCAGCTGTTGTCTCGTTCTCTTGCAAAGGCTTCAGAAAACAACCTGAGTCTCTCTCAAGACAACCCATCATACAAAGACAAAATACACCACGCAACAAAGACAAAAAACGTTTTTTGTTAAGCTTTTTCTTATTTTTTTTAGATAATGCTGCTCACATCACATAGTTACGTCAGCATATTTTTAATATTAATATTGAAGGACTGAGATTAAAGTATATATAACTATGAATGAGCAGAGATGCATACAGTCATACAAGCCTGAGCAATTAACATGGTTTCCTCTTTATGCTCTTGCACCATTTTCCTACAACAATCCTCTTTTTGTTAGTAGGATTAATGATATCCTCCAAGCTTCTTAATGAAGTGTTAGCATAAGCTATCCACTAGCGTCCTCAGTCATCTTCTTTTTGTCAGTTTGTGTTTCTGCTGTTGAGAACATGCCTCTCTTTTACAACTACCCCACCCTGCTGTACCATAGTGCAGCCTAGTCCATGAGAGACCGCTTACACATTGCATTTATGATGCCAGATGGAGCAAATCATGGGCTCAGATAGCACTGCTAATGCTTTCTCTCCACAGCGGGGAGATCGTATTGCTGCCTAGTGTTCCTTTACATGACCCTATCTGAACAGCCACGGTGAGCTGAGCTAATAGCGGCTTTGAGGTCGATATCTTGGCCGCCCTGGGTCGTGGTTTGTATGCGGGTGGTCGGAGTCATCTGCTTCTTTGGGCGGCTGTGGCTCAGAGGTAGAGCGGGTCGTGTCTTAATCGGAAGGTTGTGGGTTCGATCCCCGGCTCCTGGTGCCACATGTCGAAGTATCCTCGAGCAAGATACTGAACCCCAAATTGCTCCCGATGCATCGGTGTGGGAATGTGTATGAATGTTAGTTTCTGTTCGATGGACTTTGCCATCACTGAGTGAATGTATGTGAAAGGGTGAATGTCTCACGTAGTGTAAAAGCGCTTTGAGTGGTCGGAAGACTAGAAAGGCGCTATACAAGTACAGGTCCATTTACCATTCATTTACCATCCATTTACCATTCTTTGATCACCTTGCTAACCCTCTCCAGTATTAGGAGGCAGGCAGAGCAGGCCTAATTTGTGGATGATTCTGTGTGGGGAAGTAGAAAATATCTGAACACAGCTTTGAGAGGTTGTTGACTAGTGCTGACTATTACTATTACTATTACACTGTGGTGTGCTGAGATTGTCTAACTTCTTTCTTTCTTTCTTCGTCTTTAGGGTTTCACAACAAAACTGAATTATGTATTATTGTTGCAGCATTTCGCATTGCCGTATAAAGTTTATGACCTCCTCACTAGACATTATTGTTGGAACTTCTCTCTAATCAACTCATTTACTCGTCTCTACTGCGATAGTGCGACTTTATTTATTTATTTATTTATTTCGGTTTCGTGCTGCCATAAACTGTGCCAGCTGTTGTATTGATGTGGCTGCAGTTCTGAGCTCACTGACGGAGGCTGATAACTGTCATAGCAGGCTGTAGTTGAGGAGAATGTCTTTGAGGGCCGTTTAAGCATGGCAGCAAATTGACCTGCTGTTTGTTCTGTCTGGAAATACTCCCGTCAAAACTCTGATGGAGAGGGGCGAGTAGACAAGGCCCCTAACTGAAGCTTGTCAAAGTTCAAAACACTTTTCTGGCCTGAAGGCGAAGCACAACACCTTGGCAGCATGACTCATTCATTCTTGTGTACAGTCAATGTAACCTTGTCTTTGGGATTTTATGGCTGTGAGCACTACAAGGAAGGTTTTTGCCTTGATCTGCTTCAGCATCACCAGACATTAGCAAACATTGACAACATAACTTTACTTTATTGTTTTTGTCAAAGTCTGCCAAGGAGACACTCACTGAAAATTGAAGGTTTTTGACTAAAGTTACAAGCAAAAACTGACCTTCCGTACGTCTCTGTATGCACTCAGTAAATTCCATGGAAAGAACATATCTCCTTTAGTGTAAGATACAAAGCAAGACCATAGTTTGACTGGTGCTCTCATTCTGTTGTCTTTCTCAAACTTTTCACTTTCAGATAGTAAGGACTACTGTTGGTATTTTTTTAATATTCTTGGCATTCTAGGTGTTTGCTTATTATGACATAGTTGACACATAGAGGAAAGTTATGACACTTATAAAGGCTTTGTCGACCCTCTGCAGAACATTGTGACGTTTTGTGTGCTTGAATTTTTTTTATTCCACTTTCTGGTTGCAGACAGGGCACTGTACAGTCTTAATTATCCAGTTTAACGAACACTTCACCTCCTCAGACTGTATCTGAGACCTCAGAGAGCATGACAGGATTAAGGCAGGCATGACATTAGTCAGTTATTGGGGATTGCTACTCTTCCCTGATGCCCTCAGCAGCCAGTAATAATCCTGAGGCTCTTCTGTTTTCTTCTCCCGGGGCTCCTGCACGGATGAACTGAATAGATTGAGCTTGAGAACTGATCCAATTGTAAAAGAAAAAGGCTGTAGGGGAGGAGGCAAAATAGAAGGTATCGCTGTCCTCTTGCACAAGCATACGCTCCCATGTGGCAGGAGACCAGGTTGTATTATTGGCCTGGACAGAAGAAGAGATCTTATCGGTGAAAAAGAGATAGACTTCAGGCAATGGCCTCATTTACTATATGCTCCATACTAGTGTGTGTTACTGACTGAACTGGCCAGAATCCTTCTGAATGCCTAAGAGCTTCTTTAAAATCCTAAAGTAGGATGCTGGCAAAGAGCAGCACAATTCATTCTTAATTATTCATTCATTCATCCCACGGGAGTTCATTTTATTTACTCTCCAGTCTGCCGGCCACAAAATGAAATGGTTTTAAGATATTACTAACAATGCATTTGACCTTGAAAATGTATGATTTTGGTTGTCAGTCCTGTCAGAATAAAAAAAAAAATGTATCCCGCAGATAAATCTGCTAACCACGAGCTCTGCCTTCAATTCATCATATGTATGTGCAGGATCATGCTCCCTGCCAGACTGTATATAGACTGTGTTTGTTTGTATGTATATAAAACAGCCGGACAGCCAGACCAATAGATCTTACATTCATGCATGGCAGCTGAAATGAATTCGTAATGTAAAACTTGCATTACAGAAAATGTAAGCCCCACTGCAGGTGGCGGGTTGCGGTGGCAACAACTGAATGATTTAGCATTTTTTGACACTATTTCCCAAATGAGATTAGGTATTTTGATTCAGTTGATAGTAATGAGATGTTTATTAGCCTTGGTTGACAGCCTGTTAGCATTCTTGAAGCTGATATTACTTTTGAAAGGCAATTTCTTTTGTCCAATTTAGGAGCCATAGTTAATGTTAATGAACTCGGAAGCCGATTTCTTCTCACTTGAATAGTTATTCAGATGCCTGGGAGTTCAGTGCTGAAAGCAAAAAGAAAGAGCCGCAAATCTTTCTTCTCCTTTCCCTTTCAGGGAATAAGCCTGCGTTTGCTTGAAATGGAAATATTCACACTGCCGATGTAAAGTGCATAGCAAATGAGAGTGTGTGGGGAAAGTAGTTAAAGTTTGATTGGGCGTAACCTAGCCTGCACTCTCTTTAATGATGTTGGGAGTGTCCTCTGAAAATTGAAAACACCCTTCTCTATTCAGTCTCTCTCTGCGTTTTCCTCAGGCCCATGTTGCTCCATCTACAGTGTTTTCCTTTGCTGGTGCTCTCTCTGCGATGCAGCCATCTTGCCGGTCACGACTGGCTGCTCCAGAATACTCTACTGAGCTGTGTGACAGCATTTGGACGAGGGGTCCCAAGACATTACCTAACGCACACACACACACCCCTTTTTTTTTTAAAAAAAACCCCATTTTTTTTTCTTTTTTAAATCTGGTTTGCTAAATATTCCCGTTCTCACACCCTCATCCCTTTTCTTTCTATATCTGTCTTACTCTTTCAGCCCCCCCCCTCCTTTTCACATGAGCTACACACACACCCTTGGATACACTGCCTCTGGTTTCAAGACAAGGAGATTTGACTTGCATGAGGTCTTGGCCTATGCATCTCTCCATTTACGGAGCTCTGAGTGTGTGTGCATGTGTGTTTTGTGCTCTACGTGCAGGGTGTGTGCTGGTGTGTAAAGCGCATGCTAATGTGGGTTGGTCTTGGTCCTTGGGATCAGACTGAAGATGACAATCCAGGGGGCACATTGTGTGGGCCAGCAAACTGAGCTTCACAGATGGGAGGAGAGAAAGGAGACACAGAGCTGTAGACATAAGGACAGAAGGAGAGGGCCGTCATCCTCAGCCCCATTTCACTTTTAACTTCATTCTCGATTCGCACTCCACAGATCCAGTAGCCACTATGAAACCAGCTTTTGTGAGTATTGATTCCCTTACAGAGAGCAGCCCCACTGGAGGCTCATTAATCTTGTCTACCTGCCATGAATGAATTGAATGGGGAAAATAATTGATGCTTTCTAGCATTTCTTTGGATATTATATTTCTCATGAAAGCCTGTTCGAATGGTATGCGCTGATTGAAGCTCATTGCTTTTTTTTTGTGCTAATTACAGCACAATGGAATGGGGAAAAGCTCAAGGCTCTCCCTCACATTGTCCTTCTACTTTTGAGTATGTTCTTTAAAAAGTTAATCCTCTGTGGCATTTTAAATTCAACGAGCAATTCATGCAGCATTTCTTTGTTCTTTTGTTTTTTTGCCTTCCTGTATTGCCATGTTTATGAACTCACTGCGGATTTGGTGTTGCTTTTATTTTTCTGTGAAGGGAAAAGTGGCCTTGCTGTTTGCTACAGAGAAGTCTCATGTTTTTGACCTGCTGAGATCAAACCGAACTGTGGGTGTGTGTCATGGCCCGGTGCAACCAGCCGGGGAAATCTATTCTCTAATCCCCACCAGGGGGAGAACACGAGAGCCACAGGGGGCTGAGACATGCAGCCACTACTTAGTGCTCCTCCAGTCTAGTCATTGGAGAGAAGGAGTGCCCTTCCTGTTCTAAGTTCTAAAAAAGATTTTAAACTGTTGTGAACTTATATATATATATATTTCTGCATCCTTTGGGGATGAGTTTGCAAAGTTCTGATATTGTGTGGAAGGGATATTGTTCCAAAAAACACTAGCATGACATTGGGCTATTTCAGGAGGATGTTGATGGGAGTGCTGACAGTGCTTTGTCCCACTGTGGCATTGAGGTGTTGGCACCTGCTTTAGACGGTGGTGTGCTTGTGTTCCCCTTGATGCCATTCACTAGTCCATAGTTTTCATCCAACCCTTGTTTTGGTGCCAGCTTGCCAATTTGAGGCCGGTGGTCTGGGCACACTCTCTGCAGAAGCCTTTTGTTTTCATCGTGAACAAGCTCTGCCAGGCGTCCTTTAGCTCTCCCACCACCACCACCCCTCTCTGAGCTTTAGTTTCGTATTGTTCGAGATTCTCAAGGCTGATAATGAAAGAACAGTTCCTGTTTTCAAATCGCAGGAAAATAGCAGTCAGTTTTATTCTGCTCAGTCATCCTGGAGCAGCAGTCCTGCTGTGAGAGGCATGATAAATGGGTTCATGTGTCTTTAATCTCACCCTGACCATCTCTCATCACCGCTGGCTCTTCAGCTGTTGACCTCCGACTCGCCGCTGACTTCTGACCCTCCTCATTGTATCTCCTCATTCATAGCGAGTCCCTCTCACAAAAGACGGCTCTCCATTTCAGGTCTCTGTATTGATTCGATCCTGCAGCACAAAAACACATTCCTCTCTCCTCTATTAATTCTCATGGCACAGAGCTTCTCAGTCCCCGACCATGAGGCTTTTTCTTGTTGTGGATGTGTTTTACCTTGAGGAAATCACCGGGCTGTGTCCCCTGATAAGGATATATTTACCCAGCTCCAACACTATATCACACCTGCCTTTCACAGTAGCTGGTTCTAAATCTCATTGGACCAGCTAGCATTCCCTTTTCCATTATACTGGACAAGTGAAGCCGATACAGCAAGACTGAATGCAGATGTGTGTTTTTGTTTTTGCATCCATATGCATACTTGCATTGTCTTAAAATGAAAAGCTTGGCACGCTGACCTTATCTGCAGTCTGGTGTGTTTAAAATGCAACCAGTTGTTCTCATTTCTTTCTTATTATTCACTGCAGCCTGACGCATTCAGAAAGGTATCACAGGGACGTGCAGATGGGGGGGGGGGTTTACATAATATTACAACCTCTGCATCAGTGTTTTAAAGTACATGTGTGTTTTGTCTCTAGTGAGCTAAAGAAATAACTGGGTAGTTGCATGCCAGATCACAGCTGCTTATTTCCCCCTTTTGCTCATTGCTGAGGAGTGATGCAACTGACACGAGCATTATCCTCCCCTCAGTACAGACCTCGGCCTCTTTACGAGACGAGAGCAGTGTCCCGTCCTCATTATTACTGGACCTACAACAGCTCTGTGTGTGTGATTTTACATATTGGACCCCTGATTAATACCAGCATTCATCAGCAGCTTTCTAATTGGCTTTGTCCTGCTGAGGCCTAATAATTTAGGTTATTAGGGGAGCAACATAACACGACACGTTTAGGCTTTGTAATAAATTGGAAACAGAGAGAAGAGATGCCCAGCGGAACACGCTTGCAGTAGCCAATGAAGATGCAGTTGGACTTTTGTATCTTTCACATCTCCGCTCGAGAAATGTCAGCTACCTCTTTGCAGTAGCTTAAGAGAGATGTACCATCATTCCTGCTGTTATAATCAATATTTTTATAATAACAAAATGATTATGTGAAAACAATGTGAAAGGGGTCGCTTCAACCTACAGAAAGTTATCATCTGAGGGAGCTTTATAACAAGTGTCAGCTTATTGTTAAGCTTTCTGGGTCTTGACTGTTATGGTTTATTCTCACCACTCTCATAGCATTGTTTTCAGCCACAGCACGCAGCTGTTTTCAGTGAGAGAGCTCTGATAAGCTCATTGTACGTTTACCTGCTCAGCGCCACACCTATTAATTAGGTGGCCAGAAATGTGTCCCCAAATAAATAAATAAATTGCAGGTTAAAAGGAATAGCTGGACATTTTGGCAAACCTCTTGTTGGCTTTCTTGCTGAGAATAAACAAAGAAAAATCAATACCACTGTACCACCAAGGTAAATGGAGTGGAAAAGAAAGAAATAGCTAACCTGGTTCTATCCACTTTTTAAAACTCACAAATAACATGCTTTTTGTTGTTTGTTTAACCTGATGAACATGCTGATTAGTGAACTTTAGTGATGCTGGGAGGCAGATTGTATGGGTATCAGATGTACGTATGAAGAGTGGTATCAATTGCCTCATCTAACTGCAAGAATTGAAAGGTAAATTTCCTAAAATTTGAGAAGAAGCAAAAGCTGGTAATTTCCTACCCCCACTCCCAAATTAGGACACCACCCACTCAATGCCAACCATTACTTAAATGGTGAAGCCTGGCCTCCCTTGTAGTAGAGTATACAAGCCTGGAAAATCATGTTACAACAGCATCTCATGTGCTTACTTTATGTGGGATTATCTGCATCTGAAATAGGAGATGCATTTTTTTTTTTTTTTGGTTGACCACCTCCTTTAAAGTTTGTGGAGAATATTTTCTGTTTGTTTAAATCCAGTTTTGTCATGATAAAACCCCTTACACATGCAAAGACACTTTCATACCCAGTAGCCACCCATTTTTGCTGACTCATTTGGGTCTTTGCTCAGGTAGGAGAAATGCTGCCAATTCACCATCAACATTCCTGTTTAATGACTGATGTAGTGAACATGTGGTGCTGATAGATGGAGGTTATTTGTCGAGCTTCTGTGACTAATCTACCATCTGGTCAATATGCAGTATTTTAATCAACAGTATGGAGAAGTAACATTGGGCAGATGGATAATAATGCAATCTTCCGACTGCCCTTTGTCTCACACCTTGTCTTTCCTCCTTTCTTTGCTAGAAATTAGGCATTTCCTCCGAGGTGCTGAGGATTAGAGAGGTTTCCTGAAAGCTGATGGATTTTTTTTATCCTCTGAACAAACACATTCCTTATGCACTAGATATGTACAGTTTGCATGTCAAATATTTCAGTTACATTCAGTTTAATGTTTTATGTGCCAACTGTGTAGATGAGCTTTGTATATAACAGTATGATTATAATCCCCATTGCCAGAGAAGAGTTGGCACAGTGTAGGTAGGTGCACAGAAGGAAGGCAAAACAAAACCCTGAATTTTCTCTTAGCAGAAGCCGAAGACTTCTATCGCCACAAAACAACGAAGATCTAATTCCTTTGACAGCGTAAGATGTCCACCTTCATATAAATATCTCCTGGTCCTTTTTTGGGGTTTGGCTCTGTCCTCTTCTGGGGCATGCTTTGTAGAGGTAGATGGGATCCTGTCAGGTTTCATTAACCCTTTTGGAATGATATAGTCTTTGTGATTATTCATTTCTTCTTCTAAACAAGTCTAGAGGCTTTAATTTACTATTAACTATTCAGTCTGACAGCAGCACACTGAAATCAATGCATTATTCTTCGAAGTTAGAATTCTATCTCTGACCGACATTTCTCTTCCAATTACATACCATTTCACTGCTGAGCATCCATGTACAGACTGATGATGATAATCTAACAAATGTAGACCTTGGTCTCCTGATGGCACTTTATTGCCTTATATAATTATACTAATGAGGACATATAACCTGTCTGCTGGCTTTTAGAGCAGTAGCCAGGACTTCTACTCTGTAGCCAGTGGCACGACAGTCACTTTCAGATAAAATATTTCCAAGAAGGCACAATAAGTGAGGAGTGACAGCACCTGGCAGGTCTGACAGCAGCACTGTCAGATTCTACCTTTTCATTTTCTCCCAATGTCTGTGCATACTCTGGATTGGTTCAAAGAGAGAGCCATGTTTCTGTCTTGTGATCGGGGTAATATTGCAGCTCACTGGCCATCTGCTGCTTCTGTGCCTTTTGTGAATGCATTTGAAGGAAATGACAGTATCACACATGCATTCTGTAGAGATGCATGAAATTATTGCACAAAAACATCTTTCTTCTCAGGCTCCTTGTTTATTTAACTTCTTCTGTGCTTTGTATTGATAGTCTCAGTTAATGTCTTATCGGAGCAACATTGGAAGAACATTATGACACACATAGCTTAACTTGGTACAAAGTATTTTGTCTGAGAGCTTTGTAAGTGATAAAAAGCATGAATCACCTAACATTGTTTCTGTATTTTTCTCTTAGCTTTCTTGCCCAGACAAAACTTTTTCTTTGCAACCATTTACATCACACTGTGAGACAGAGATGTCTGTATAAATCAGTATTGTTTTGGCTGCAGGCGTCAGGTGAGATGCAGCATCCTGCAGTCACGGGCCAGTATGAATGGCTGTAATGCTGGGGCCATAAATGAGATATAAAAGCAATCAACCATGGTGCAGCTGCTTAAGATGCCCTTCAAATTTTATATTTATGTGTCTTTTTTAAACCACTGTGACTGACTGTTCTCTCGCTGAAGGTAACCTTAATGCTTTCATTTGCTTTTGCAGGGTGACTGTAACATTTGGTGGTTTGTTGTTTAAGGCATGGGGGCATTTCTCTGTATTTTTGCTGGTGAGAGGTAGAGGCTGAACTTTGATGGCTCCTACAGGTTCTTAACTCTCTCCTCTGTTCCTGTCCTCAGATCGAGAAGATCATGACACTGATTGGCGCTGGCATCGATTTCTCCAGAGATCAGCAATATGCTACACCAGGTAGAGTACGCTCATTTTATTGCTATTTCAAGTTCTAATTAGAGTTCAACACCTAGAAATTGAGATTGAATCAAAAATTTATTATCGATGAAAGCTGAAAGTTTGCGGGAAAACGAGTGAACTCTTAGTGCTGATTTTATGTCCGTTTTTACTCACCTCTGTAATTCATTTCACCAGTGTTGCATTATTTATTGCTTGTGAAGCCAGGTTTAAATGTAAAAACCCCAAACTACCCATTTGTCTGTAGGTAGAAACATTGGTGGGCAGAATTACAATGTATTTATTTGCCTGCATTTCCTCAAAACCTTTAATCAACCTTTCTAAGTATGTTCTGCAAATGGGTTTATTGCCACAGGTACTTCTTTGACAATCAACGCCTTCCTTGTGTTGTTGTGGACCCATACCTCATGCTTTGTACTATACACCATACCTGTTTGGATTTGCTTTGTAATCATCTTTCAAGTTATTTGATCCGTATCAGGGCCCTCAAGGGAAATCAAACAGGTGCCTGGGAGACATGGCTAATGAAGGAGGCACCCGAAAACAAATTACGATTCAGTTAACAACAGAGAATTGGGTACAAAAGTGTAATGCGGGTAGACAGTTGGTCTGTTGCAATAGAGCAGATGAGGGATCAACATTAGCAGCTGCAGAAAAACACTTTTGAAAAGCTTTTCTCATCCTGCAGTTTAGAGAATAGAAAGGTGACCCATTGGATTCATTTTACCCGTCCTTATTTCAAGGCGGTGTTGCTCTTGTGTGTTACACAATTGCTTTTAAGCCAGAGGGGGCCAGGACAGGTCAAGTACTGGTCTCTAAACCTACCTTGCAAGGTACCAGGTGTATTTTTATGACCAAAGTTCCTGAGAAACCCATTATTAGATCTAGCTTCACACTCTGTAATGTAATGTCTTTGTGTTAAAGATTCTGTACCTACTCTCCTGTTATTCTTTCGGCTTTTCAAAAGCCTGTCGTCAGGGTTGATGGATGGTGCTCGGGGACTGTAGCAGTAAACCCCGAACAAATCGACTCCCTCCCTTCAGCTTTCACATTATTCAACATTCACCTCCAGTTTACACTTTGCCTAAGCCACACTTTAATATATATGAGCAATGCAGTGGATCAACTACAGTATGCCTTTGGACAAAGTTGTCTGTCTTCGTATTTTACCCCTCCTGTTTGTTATGCCCTACACTGGAGTGAGCTGTTTAAATATTAACCAGCACGCATGTCAGGGGATGAGCTCATTTTGCTCGATAGACTTGAGGAAAGCTGAGACCACTGCAGTAAAGTAGTTAGCGCCCCATCACCGGCTGTCTGCTCTGAACTTGCCCTAAGTCTGAATCCACTCTTCTGTGTATGTGAGCCTCAATCTTATAGCCGTCATGCCTACAGCTCCGTCTCAATGAAGCCGCTGTCAGGAGGCCATCAAGGGACTCACGGTAGATGTGAGAAGCCGCATCACTTTTTTCTCCACTCTCTGATTCAGTCCAATGTTTGCCTTCTTTCAGTGTTGACTGGAGAGCAGTGATGTCTCCAGCTGATTGGCTCTGTGCCTGCAGTCTCTTGTACTTTTCTCCTCTCTACTGATCCACTCACTACATCAGAGTGAAACTCATGGTGGAGGAGGGTGAAGGAAACTGTTAGAAAAGAAAAGACTGATGCACAGAAGCTGCAGAAACTCGAGCGCAAATGCAAGTAATGAGTGGCGGGAGGTCTGTAGCTGAAACGGTCGCTCGCACTGACAAAGACCAGCCACCTGCAGTGTTTCAGAGAGAGAGGGAGAGGGAGGGAGGGAGGAGTGGAGAAGCGTATGCAATGAGGGGGGAGAGAGAGAGAGGGAGAGAGAGATAGAGTGAGAATGGGAGGAGAGAGGCAGGCAGCAGAATTGTGAACAGTCAGGACAATAGGAGGACGCCACCTCGGCATCTGTAGGACTAGGTGGTCTGCTCCTCAGCCTAGAGTGGACTACAGAGGTTTTTTGTAGAAGTGGCTGCTGCTGGATGCATCTCACAGACTGAGCCAGGCTGAGGAGAGACAGTTTTGGCACTCTCTTGACTGCAGAAGAGTTCATCCTGGGGGCCAGCTATTACTAAAGTGCTCTTTGAAGTAGCTGATTGGATCCTTGACTGGATTTTTTTTTTCCTTGACACATTTCCAAGCTTCTGGAATGACCAAAATGGGATTTATGGCGTAGGAATCTCCTACAACAGGATTGGTTTTGTAGCAGGTTGAATAGATGATCATAGCATTGACAAAGGAAAAATATGCTTTAAAATGGGCATTTTACTCATAATTCAGGTTGTGATATCTTTTTGTTAATGTAAATGATCAGCTTTCTTTATAGACTGTCCTGCACAGGGGAAAATAAATGTAGCGGATATGTAAAGCTCTCATATGAGCAGAATAATTATTCACTCTGTTAACTTTTAACTGTGGTTGAGATGTGGATATCAAACTAAGAGTTAAAAGATAAATACACCAAATTGTTGTGTAAAAACTGTTTCCCACTGTAGAAAATATGGGTTTCTTGCCTTGGAAGTGAGTTAAAACTTACCAGTAATATGTTATCAAAGGTAGAGGCAGCCATCTGTCCTTCTACAGGTTAGTTTCCTCTCGGCTCCGGCTGCTGACAGCTGTCACTGTAGCTTTTTTTCTCAATCAGTCTCAGCTGATGAAAGACGTGTCGCATTTTTTTATCTGTCCCACCACTTTCCACGCGAACGCTGTCATGTTCTCAAGTAGATTCCTATCTGGACTATGCATGTTGGATTATATGCAGAGTAGGCTAGGTCTGTGAATCTGGGATGAGCCAGAGCTTGGTAATTAACTGTCTCCTGCTTCTTGACTACAAGTTTCCAAACAAGTTTCCATGTGGCTGAAACACATTAACTTTCCTGGGGGGGGGAATTCCCCATTGTTATGGCCTGCTGTTCTCTTCTCTGACCCCTCCGAGTTTTTCTTCATTACAAAACAAAAGCTTAATTAAATCAGTTGCAAGCCTTTTTTTGGACAAAAAATGCTACCTCCTAACATGGGATATTTTGACTTTTTTCCACATTGGATATGAACTGTTATGTTACATATTGCACCATTAAGTGAGGCAGCATCCTGATTATAAGTGCTTTTGGCATCTTCCTCGCTGACTATCATAGCTAGGAATTTTGTGGATATAAGCTGGTAGTCCACCAGCTCATATCTCTTTCCAGTTCACCCCTGAGATCAGGGGTATTTTAATCCATCTTGGGTGACTGTGGTTCAGCCCCCGCCACCCCGCGGGAGCTGACGCCCTGTCCACAGAGGACACTGTCTCCCCCGCCTTCCTGTTGCTGGTGCGCTCGGCTCTGCTGGCCGAGAATGATGTGGCAATGCCACGTCTCATCCTCAGAGTGCCGCTGCTACCGGCTGAAAGGTTTCTCCCTCCTGAAGCGCTTTCCCCTGTCAGCAGGTGCTGCTGGCCGGCTGTTGGACCAGCCTGTGGGAGACTGGCTGGAGCACGTGGGGCTGCCGCAGTACGAGAGCAAACTACTCCTGAATGGTTTCGACGACCTGCACTACATGGTGAGTTCCTCCCTTAACTGACCTTGATGCTCTTGCCTGACTCTCGTCTCTTCCTCACATTTAGGATCTTTTTGTTTTTGTCTTTCACCTCCTACTTAACTCCAGTTTGTGTCATTGTGCATTAATCCAATTGATGCCAGCCTCCATTAGCAGTGAGATGATCCCATTAGCTTTGTCTGAAGTTCAATTAGTTGAAATCCTATAATGACCCCTCCCACCATCATGAGACTCATGACTTGTTTTTCAACAGCTACAAGATTTTATTGTAGGAGTCATTTATTCTGGGCGGACTCAGCACATAATTCAATATCACACATTACATCACATGCTTTATAAAATTCACAATATTCTCTTCTTGATTCAATAACAGAAGCTTTCCTCTCGCTCTAGTGACATGCTCTCCAGCAAAGCATTAATTGATGCTTGCTAGATTTACATGTCCATTCAATTAGACAATATGCAGTTTGATCTGTGCTGTCAAATATTTTGTTTACAGCGACTTTAAATATCATTACGCCTGGTTGCATGTTGAATCAGGTTCATGCTGTCTCAGGCTCTCAGACAGTCTGTCTCCAGCTCTGGCGGCCGCTGTCATGGCCTCTCACTTACGGCCAGTGAGCCGGCTGCCTGAGAAGCAGCAGATGCCCGGCCAGAATGGAGGAGCATCTCGGTGAGCAATGGGATGCTGTTGCCAAGCTTAAGTTTATAGAGCCCACAGTGTGCAACAGCACTATGAGTTGGCTCTGTCGCTTTCGTCAGTAATGAGGACTGATGGAGGAGAGAGTAAGGGACCCAGCTGGTAGCTGGTAGGCTGAGCCAGTGGGCATGTTGAGCCATCTTATGTATCAAGATGAAAACCCTTTCTTCCTCCGTCCTATCATACACCTTCTCTTTAACACATGATGAGCCACGTGTGTACTGGTTTTCATCCCTTCCAAACACTTAATTTAATTTTACTGTTACGTGTTTGGTGAGATGTGGCTGCAGACAGCAACTCTGTGACATTTTCGTGTGTCCTCACATGTACAATAGTATGAATTAAGTTTTTATTATTATTATTGTCAGATCCATGTATACGCTGCACATACATTCTCAAACCAAAGCTTAAACTAAAACTCAAAAACTAAAGACAACCAAACATTTACCATGCAATCAGAAATCAGAGTAGTTAATTGTTTTGTTAAGCCGATTAATGGAAAATGTACTCCTTTAAATCATCATAGTTTGTACGACACAAAAGAAACAATGTTAAAGATAAAAAAAGAACAGTTAGTATGTGAGCTGCTGTATGTCTGTTACAGACCCAAAAATCCTGAACAGTACACTGCAATCCAGCAGCATTCAACTCAACACTCATAACAAGAAGTTGGACTACCTTTTGTACCTGAACTGTACCCTTCTGTAGACATGCATACAACATGTGAAGGGACTGCATGTGTAAAAAGGACGGGACATGCATGTGCCAAAATTGAGATAGGTTAGTTAGGAGGGTTAAAAAAAAAAAAAAAAAAAAAAAAAAAAGAAGGAGAGAAAGGCCCCCCCCCCCCCCCCCCCCCCCCCCCCCCCCCCCCGCCCCCCCGGGCCGGGGGCGGCGCCGCCCCCCCCCCTCCAAGACCCCCCCAACGCGGAAAAAAAAAAAAAAAAAAACCCCCCAAAAAAAAAAAAAAAAAAAAAAAAAAAAAAAAAAAAAAAAAAAAAAAAAAAAAAAAAAAAAAAAAAAAAAAAAAAAAAAAAAAAAAAACCCAAAAAAAAAAAAAAAAAAAAAAAAAAAAAAAAAAAAAAAAAAAAAAAAAAAAAAAGGAAGAAAAAAAAAAAAAAAAAAAAAAAAAAAAAAAAAAAAAAAAAAAAAAAAAAAAAAAAAAAAAAAAAAAAAAAAAAAAAAAAAAAAAAAAAAAAAAAAAAAAAAAAAAAAAAAAAAAAAAAAGGAAAAAAAAAAACATAAACGGCAAACAGCAAGAACCCGCACAACAGGGCTTGAAATAAAGACAATAGGTAGAGGAAGTGGTATTAAGCCAGAAGACGAAAAAAAAGGGATTAAAAAATAATAATAAATATAGAAGGGAGGGAGTATAAACTGGATGCGGCCACGAATGTTAATAAGCCAGGCAGGCAGCGCCGGGAGCAGAGCAAACTCTGAGTAAAGAAGAGAAGTGGCGAGGCCCCAAGACGGGGCATAAAAAGACGCGGCCGGGGAAAAAAGAGGAAAACCAATGCGCCAAGCCGGGCGGAGGCAAAGAGAGGCGGAAAACCGAATGGGAGCCGCACCACAGGCGCAGCCCCGCAAAGTAGAAAAGGCTACACAGCAAAAAGAGGCATAGATAAAAAACGGGCGCCCGCGAGGAGGACTGCACTAAGGGCACGCAGAGCAGCAGACCGGTACAAAAAAAAAAAACGGGGCAAAAAACACCCCGGTGTATAAAAGGACAACAATGCTACCGAGCAGTAGTACCTAATGATGTAATGCGGAAGACGATGAAAGAAAGGCAACGCCACACAAAGGCGGAAAGAAAGGGAGGGAAGGCACGGCATAACCAGCGAGAGCAAAGCGCCGGGCCCACGCCACCCCCAAACCGGGTAACAACCAGCAATAGCAACGAAAGGCAGACTAAAATAACCATCAAAGGCAGGCCGGGCTAGAAGCAACCAACCCCCGCCGCAACAGCTGAAGCGTAAGCAAAAAGAGAAAGATAGCGACTGGGCAGAGGAAGCGCCGCCGGGGGCCGGTGCGCGCGATACAGGGCACGGGAGCCCAGACCCCAAAACCCGAATAGGGGAAAAAACCGCAAGAAAACCACGAAGAGCAAGCTAAGTTTATTAAGCCTCCCCTTCCAGAGTCATGGAAGGGGGGTTTTTGGGGCAAAAGGAGGGGGGGCAAAAAAAAAAAGAAAAACTCCCCCCCCCCCCCCCCCCCCCCCCCCCCCCCCCCCCCCCCCTTTTTTAAAAAACCCCGTTTTAAAATGAAAGGGGGTTTTCGGGAAAAAAAAATCACGTTTAACCTCTTCACAAATCGGTGGTCTGGTGCTGCTTTACAAACGTATTTGTTCAAATGTTTAATATTCAAATTAACAGAAAATTAATTCAGTTTAGTGAGTCAACTGTGCAGCTAGCACAGTGAGGGAAATATGGCCACATTTGTGACTTCAGCTCTCCATATGTTACCCCTTGATTCGATCACAGTGTTGCCTATCAAACCTTAGGGGTTTTTAACCTGTTATCCAGTGGTAGGTTGTATCTTCAAAGGTAGTTTCATGATCCTCCAGATGTTTTCTGTCTGCTTGGAAGAGATCAAAGATCAGATGTTTGCCCAGGGTGAAACCGATGTTTAAATTCCGTATTTCCACAGACTGGCAGGCTGCGAAATGGTTCAATCTTGGGCAGCTACCTCAAAAATTACAGCCATCAATCCAAAACCCTCAATGAAATTAATACAGTGTACAGTATATACATTAGGGGGGTTGATAAATCCTGCCAAACTTCATGAAACCTAATATGAGCCACCTTTCTCTCAGCAAGTCTAATAGTGATGAAGTTGTAACCCTTTTCATCTGGTGTTTTCATTGTTTTGACTTCTCCATGTACATCTTAGTTGAAAGGTAACAACACTGCCATGTTTATGTCTTGGCAGATGACAGTCAGTGTCAATTTTTGGTATTTAATGTGTGGTAATTAGACTTGTACATATTGCTTACTAAACCTCAGTGGTGTGCATTGACATCAATGAAATATAGATCCATCTTGTAATCCAGCCCTTAATATCAACACACCAATGTTTTACTGTTATGGATAGCATTATAAATTCAAGCTAGGAACTCTACACTGATGAATACCAAAAGAAATGAATGTTTCGTGCTCTTATGTAGCATGGACTTCCTATAGCTATAGGAGCCAGCTGTGTCAGATTATTTTCAGTGTACAATGGTGCTTGCATGAATAATCTTTAATCTGCTTTACATAACCTGGAAGTAGAGCATTCCTCCATCTATCTACCACTCTCCCTCTCACCCGTTGTCATCAACACCCATGTTTAATTCTGTGTTGAAGCCTCTGAAGTTACTCTCAGGGTTTAATCTTCCTACTGTTTTTTTAGTCTTTCATACTCTCCTTCCTCAGCCCTGAGTCCTCTTTTTTTCTTTTCAAAGTGGAGCTGGCAATTTTTCTATCTTTAAACACGGCTTACCGACCACCTGGCTTCCCAAAATTCGCTGGAGGATTTAGAAAAAAGCTGTAACCTTTTAAATGGCGTGTCCTTCCTTCAGTAAATGTTGACCTTTTTTAAGAATCACAGTTTGGTCTCAGTTGGAAATGAAAATTACCCTCTGAGTCACCTTGTCTTTGCTAAACTTTTCAGGCTGTTTCATTATAACCAGGCAGAATTGTTTTGTCTAATTTTATTAGTAGCACCAGCCTTGTGGCACATCATTTACTGGTTCCTTTATAAATGTTTCTTTATTTTCCATGTAATTCATACAATTAATTCCTGTAATTACCAAACTGATCCAGCTTTTAATAGCACACAAACTCATATTTACACTTAGATATTACAGATATATATCATTGCTAGAGACTAAAATCTAATGAGGAATATGATACAGCCTCTATAGTTGAACTGTTACACTAGACAGTCAATAAGTTAAATTCATGTACAGACAGAAATAGTCTTTAGTCATCTTTTTTCATCATCATATGGAAGAAATTGGCATCCACTGATCATCACACTCTACCAGCACACTCTAAAATGATCTGCAGGCTTCTTTTAATTTTACCATAGTTATGCAATACATTGAAAAACAATGGCTGAGAAACAGTATGTCAGCTGTAGCAGTGAGATCACTAATTAAACAGTGTTTACTCTGTCAGTCAGACTGCTGTGATCTCTGTCTACCCTGCAGGCTTGCTCTAGAAGTGGATCAATAACAGCAGTGATTGTGTTGTGTTCAAGCACCGAAGCAGAGACAAGCCTCTTCTGAAACCAATTAGATGCTTTTTATCGACTCATGGAGCAAATGTCCCGATGAAACAAGCTCTGCGTGGCCATGCTGTTCTCCAGTCCTCACTGGTACCGACAAGTAATGCTTGTTGAAATGAAACCGCTCCTTTTCTCTCAACCTTACTCCCGGGCTTCTGGTGGCTGTATCGTCAGCTGTGACAGGGTCAGCCAAGTTAAGTTTGTATTCGAGGCACCGATGCGCTTCTGCAGGGACATTATCTTATTTGAAGATAGCAGACATAGAGCCAGCTAGAGAAGACAAGACGCAACATTTCCTTAAGTTTCAATCCAGTGGAGGTGACTCAGTGCAGATAAAAAGCATTAATTTATACAGAAAGAGCGTGGTTTTAATCTTGGTTTTCTGTCCTCATTGTTATTTTCTGCCTTAAAATTAATGCAAAGTGGTTATGCTGGAAAGAGTCAATGCCTCCAAAGCCTGCAGACAAATTGGAAATTCAGTAATGGCTTCATGCATTAGAAGCTCAAGGATTGGGAATGGATTAATTGATTTTTCTGTTAGGGTAATGGTGGTGATGTATTGTCCTTTTACCCGTTTGAAAAACATTTGTGCAGGAATTAGATGGAACACATGGTTGATTTTTTATTATGCTTGCACACTCTGTCACAGTTTCCTCTTAGCCTTTTTCACAGGCCCATGTGGTCTTATGACAGCCTGTTTAGTAGGACAAACGATGATTTTCAGTGCTGCTGGTTAGCTGTCCTTTAGATGGTCAGGAGGAGTGATCCGTGCCCTCGAGCCCCTGGCCTGAATTCAGAGTGCTTTCAAACCAGAGGGACTGCTGTGGCTGTGGATAGGTGGAGGAGAGAGCAGCATTTTAATGAGAGGACAGGGGAAAGCAGAGATGGATGGGCCGCACAAGCACAGACAAAAAAAACACCTAGTGTACACCAATCTGGATATATTTTTTTTAGCTATGTTGTGCTGATGTAAGCTTTGTCTCAAGTAATGTATTCTCACTTTTAGACCTGCTGAGCCTGTGGTGCGGAGAAAGTGGAGTCACATTAGTCAGAATTTTCCACCACGTCTGTCAAGTTACCCTGTTTGTGCTTTCAAAGTCTTGTGTGGGAATAAATGGATTATCAAGACATAGAGAGGTGGATGTAATATTTATGTTAGATGGGAGTTTCATCAACTGTGCTACCTTTCAAAGACTAGATGGTCCCCTTTTAAGCATCTTTCCCCTTATAAGGTTCACATTTATAGTCCCCACTAGGGTTTGGTTCAGAATAGGAAAACGTGGGGGCTGCAACTAACAATTACTTTCATTATCAATTTATGTGACGGTTATTTCCTCAATTGAATATTGAATGGTTCATTATAATTTTGTGTGTCTTTTTCCCGAACAATTTCTCTGTTGATTTGTTTTATCCGACCTCAGTCCAAAACCAAAGGATAATCAATTTATTGTTATAAAACGAGCAAATCCTCACATTTGAGAAAGCAGACAATGTTGGGAATTTTTGACAAAAACAATTTCTAAATCAATTTATCCAAATAGTTGCAGATCAACCTTCTGTCGATCAAGTAATGGATGAATCGACTAATCTTTTCGGCTCTAATGTGGATTGAAATAAATCCTACAAATTCGCACAAATCGGCTCAACTTCCAACATTGAAATGTCTAGCTACGTCAGGTAGGGCTGCAACTGAAGATTATATTGTTGATTATTAGACCATTTGGTCAATAAAATATAAGAAAAAAAATTTGTGTTGTTTGCATGACAAATACCTTAAATAGTTAATCAGTTATAATTGGAGATTGATTATTTGTGAATCGACTAGTTGATTAATGAATGGACTAATCATTTCAGCACTAATGGTAGTCGCTACCAAATCCACAGGCATAGGCCTGTTTCATAACAAACATTTTGTTTGATTACACCACCATATCGTCAGCAAAAAATATTTAAATTGGTTGTTTCCTGTGTCTCAGTGATGACTATCATGAATTGCATCTTATAAAGTTCAATAAACAGAAAACTTTGGGTGCAACCAAGCATAAAGAAGGCCCTCAGGAAAGGCATAAGAAATAAAAAGGCTGCATTGAAACACATCTACTTAACAGTAAAAAAGTGCAGAAAACAACCCAGGAAATGGCAGCAAAGACTGTAGATTCAGTCTGTTGGAGCTACACTTCCTCCCACAGAGCCTTTTATCAGTTAATCTCCAGTGGGACCGTAATGCAATGATCCATGCACTGTGAAAGCGCTATTATCCATCCAGCTCTCCAAATAGTTTCAATCCTCATCTGGAGAAGCAGCAATTGGCGTGCGTGTTGCTGCTCACAGATAATGGGCTTTAAGTTGTCAGTTTTGTGGGAGGTATTAAGGAAGCAAAAGAGTTGCGTCATGATGTCTTGTGCTCAACTGAGCTCTAACGAGGGCCATGTTTCACCATTGTTACAACCAACATAACTTCCTTCCTTGGAGAGTTCATGTACACATTGCGTTTGACTTATTCATTTATTTATTCATTTCCTACTTTCTTTTTGTGTGGCAGTCTGTCTTTCTCTCTGTCTTGTCTTTTTGTCCCTCTGTCTTACTTTCATTCTTTCCTAATTGTTCTTGATTCGGATAACCCGAAAGTAATAGAAGAGCTACAGAGGAGAGATCCCTCACCATCAGACATACAATAGATGTGTGCACAGAAAAAAAATCAACAATAAAAATCACAGTACATAAAAATTGTGATGACAAAAATATAGATTAAAATAAACTGTAAAACTGAAGAGTATGCAGCCAGGAGGACGTTGTGCAGCTTCAGGTGTTGCCAAATAGGTAGGACCTGAGCCGCATCACCTGCATCACGACGAGCAGCATTACACAGATTACTCTGCAGTTTTTACTCTCGCTGGACAGACTCGCTCCTCCCATTTGCTTATCCTTTCCACCCCTTGTTTGCATCTACAGCGTCTGCATGAAAAACAGGCTGTCAGGTTTGACCTACAGACAGCTTCTCTTCTATCCCGTTACTGCTGTGTGTGTGTGTGTGTGTGTGTGTGTGTGTGTGTGTGTGTGTGTGTGTGTGTGTGTGTGTGTGTGTGTGTGTGTGTGTGTGTGTGTGTGTGTGTGTGTGTGTGTGTGTGTGTGTGTGTGTGTGTGTGTGTGTGTGTGTGTGTGTGTGTGTAGAGGTGAGCACCATAGGATTAACTTAAGGTTTATATTGAAGAGTCAGCCATATGTGCCCTGAGCCGTCACAATTTCTTCCTGAGGCAGCAGCTCCCAAGGAGCATCACGATACTTAAACACATGAGATTTAGTTGCTTAGAAGTCCTCAGAAGTAACACAGCTGGACTTGGAGCGCTTACTGTCTTGTCATCTGAGTAGTAATACTCGGTAATAACTTGTGTATTTTGACTGTTAGACCAATGGATCGGCTAACGAGACACTACTAATGAATGACGTTCAGTGTAGAAATAGACTTTCCTTTTACACGTCAGCGTGTTTAGATTTTTTTCACCCTGCAGCAATCAGTTACAGTCAACTATTGATGCAGTAGTATTCTACCCTCGATCTCAGATCGCTGACCACTCTGCAGTTCTGACATTGATTTATCGCTCCTTTCTCCATTAGCCATTACCTGCCACACAGTCCCAAAGGTGGCACTGTGCAACCAAAGATGGGTTTGACCATCATTCACACACATCCCTGTCAGTCCCCTCCCCCACACACTTTAAGGGGTTATTGACATGCCCCCATCACTACAGTAGGTTGGGTCCCTGGGAGGAGTTTGAACATCTCACTCAAGAGTAATTGACCTTTTTTCTGCAATGGTAGCATTACTTGTGATCAATACTTAACCCTGCAGCATAGGCTCTTCTCGTGGAGGATTTGTCTAAACTAGATGTAAACTTGGAACCAAACAGTCTGTGTTTATTTATATGGCTTTTTCATTATGTTGCAACTTGATGTTTTGCCTGAAATTCATTAGTTGATGCCTTAATAAATTAAGGCACATATCATTTACCAGAGATCCTGTTTTTTGTATTTTGTTCTATAGGGGAGCAATGTAATGGAGGACCAGGACTTGAGAGAGATTGGGATCACAGACCCAAGCCACAGAAAGAAGATCCTGCATGCAGCGCGTTCATTACCCAAGGTGACAAATCATTGATTGCTACTTCATTACTTATTTCAGCATACTATAGGCTGATTCAGCGTCTTGCATTGCACCTGATATTAGATCACAAGGTGCCAATCTCCTGTCAGTGCCAAGGTAGTGCAGTGGAAAGTAACTAAGTACATTTGCAAAGTACTGTACTCAGGTACTTTTGTCTAGGTGGGGCCATGTGTCATGTTTCAGATACATTTGTTGTTAACAGTTCCACCAGTTCTAACTTTTCCAGTGGTTTGAGATCCAAAGAACTAAGAATAACCAATATTTCACAACAAAAAGAAAAGATGAGTAAAAAGTCCAAAATATGAATATAACGTTTTGTAGCAGAACTTCTTTTGGTCTTTTTCCTCTCCCATTAATTATCTTGGAGGGGCCTGACCCCTACACTGAGAACCACTGGACTTCTTTTTATTCTACCTCACTTCTATATGATTATAACTGTTTGATTTAATATAATTTTATTGCCTCCTGAAATGTTCCAGTCATGGAAGGCATTTTGTAACTTTGTTTTGAAAAGTTCAGTATAAGTAGAGCTTATTATTATTATTATTATTATTATTATTATTATTATTATTATTATTATTATTATTATTATTACAACAGTATATAAAGTAGTTAACTAAAAACTAAAACTAGCTCCACCTCGACCAGCTACAACAATAAAATGCTACTTCAACATTGTTGCATCACTATTAACAATCTAATATTGTAATATCTAAGAACAAATCAGTTACGGGGTCATTTTTCTGCAGAATAGGTTTTACTTTTGGTATATTAAGTACATTTAGCTGATAATACTTCTCTATTTTGAATACTGGGCCTTTACTTTTCATAGAGTTTTTCAGATTGTTTTTGGGACTAAGCAAAAGGTCTGACTACTTCTTTCACTACTGCATTAGTGTAAATATAACATATGATCTGTTTCCTCCTTCTTGACATGTATGAATATACATGTATGGGTTAAGTGCTGCAAGTTCCTTCAAAAAGGCAGCAGGAAAACTGGTTTAAAATGCATATATGCCCAGATCTTGTCCCGCAGCCCTCAAAAAGCATCAGTGAATGATTAAGTCTTCTCCCACAGGTGAAAGCGCTAGGCTGTGACGGCAGCAGTTCCCTGTCCTCTTGGCTGGAGAATCTGGGCCTGCACGAGTACTTGCATAACTTCCTGGCCAGCGGGTACCGCTCGCTAGACTGTGTCAAAAACCTGTGGGAACTGGAGATTGTCAATGTGAGTCACAGTGACGTACGTGGACTACAAGGACTATCAGAGGGTGAAATTAGTTTTACAGTGTGTTAAAGGGATAAGAGACAAGTTTGACAGTTTACTCCAGCTTCAGTTTTAGGAGGCAAAAAACCCAAACTTTGAAGGTGAATACACAGAAATGTGTTTCCAATTCTTCAGTTGGTTATCGATTTGGTAAGGATATATAAGGGAAACAGAACAAAGTTCTCTCTTGGTTCTAAAATAACACTTAGATAGGGTGTCATTTAAGGTTGGAGGCTTGAAGACTTAAGGGGAAGTTGTTATGACAGGTGAAGTAGCAGTGTCTGATGTTTCTTGGTATGCCTCCAACTTTCCAGCACTTCTGCTTCCTCAAGTGCTGCTCCACAGGTTCACCAGATAACTTCCTCTTTCCTCCAGGTGCTAAAGATCTCCCTACTTGGTCACAGGAAACGCATCATTGCTTCCTTAGCAGAGAGGCCCTATGAGGAGCCTCCAGTAAAGCCTCCTCGTTTGTCTCAGATCAGGGTGAGGACCTGCAGACTCCTACACTGTTTTACCAACAACTTTCTAATTTTACACTCACTCGTGAATGTTTTTTTTAATGGTTTTCCCTCTTCTCAGGCGTGGCTCTGTTATTTTCAGTCATTAAATTTGTATTTAGTCCACACATTTTGCAGGTTTTGGGAAAAATGAAGGACAGTCACTGTTCATTATGGGACAACTAACCGTGTCCGACTCTGTCTGTCCAGTGCCAAGACCTGCCTGGATCCCAGACCTCGTCTCCCCTCAGTCAGATGGAATCCTACACGGGACGCTCAATGGACCCTCTGCTGCCAGTAGGAGAGCCAGGGAGGAAAAAAGCTGCAGATACTGACTATGACGTTACCCAAAGATATCGCAGTGAACGACACAGATCACACGTATGTTTGGGTTTCATTTCAGCAGTACGTTATGTCCTCCAGTATGTCATATATTGGGGCTCTGCCAGTCTGATGATAATTATACTTCTTTTTTCCAGGAACGGTACGAAGAACGGCCTAGAGAGCCTCGTCTAACCCTGCGGCCGCCCAGTCTGGCAGCACCCTACGCCCCGGTCCAGAACTGGCATCATCAACCTGAGAAGCTCATCTTTGAATCCTGCGCCTACGAAGCCAATGTACAGTCTTGCCTCTCTCCTTCCTACATGATGCAGTTTTCTTTGAACATGTACACCAACGCTGAGTTTCTCTCTGTCTTCTGTTCCCTTGTAGTACCTCGGTTCCATGCTTATCAAGGATCTACGGGGTACAGAGTCCACGCAGGATGCCTGTGCCAAAATGCGGGTAAAAGAGATGTTTCTTCTCTAGTCTAAGGGTACAGACACAGGACATGATGCATAAGTAAATGTTAAATAACGTTAATGTCCTTTCTGCCTGTGTTCTGCTTTCCTCCAGAGGTCGACAGAACAAATGAGAAAAGTCCCTACCATCGTCCTCTCCATCACCTACAAGGGTGTGAAGTTCATTGATGCAGCCAATAAGGTGAGCCACTACATCCACACACTGCACTGCTTTGTGCAAAAGTTCACTTTTTAACCCTGCATGTCTTCAGAGTGATGTTATACTTAAAATTGAACCCTGTGCAAATATGTTAACTTTACTAAATATTTTGAGATCATGTGCATGAAAGTGTCAAACATCACACTGCTTCCTTTCTGTGATTGTAAATGTCATGCCTGCAAGTTTATGTCAGATTTGTTCATGTATTTCCTGACAGCCAGCAAGTCTGCTCATATTGACATTTATTTGACATTAATAAACAAAGACTCGGAAGCTCAGCCCAGTATTACTTTGTATGGCTGCTCTTTACTGCGATGGCTTTAATACATGATTCATGCCTCCTCTTTACTGGCTGTCTCTTGTCAGGTTGATAAATCATATTTTTTTATAATGCACTACTTATAGCACTCAAGTGCTATATTAGATAGGTTGATATTGTGTTTATGTTGTATTAATACCATCATACAGAAACATTATTTATAGCCTGTTACTGAGTCCTATGCTGCCTCTCTTCTGTGTGCAGAACATCATTGCCGAGCATGAGATCCGTAATATTTCATGCGCAGCCCAGGACCCAGAGGACTTGTGCACATTTGCCTACATCACCAAGGACTTGCAGACCAGCCACCACTACTGCCATGTGTTCAGCACAGTAGATGTGGTAAGATAACCATCAATGTCCCGTCTCCTGTGTTTAACTGAAAACACTGGTATATCTGTCTCAGGTTGAATTAGCTTATTCTGACATTATATGAGCATTTGTGTTGGCTGGTTTTAACATAAACAAGGTGGAAAATACTAGTAGGAGAATTTCTTGTGTCGAAAACTTTCCTTCCTGGTAAATTTGAATTCCTCCAACATCACCTCCAGTACTTACACTGAGGAGATGTGACAGCGTACACGGTCAACACTGTTATCTCTAGACTGCCCTATCTCCTCAAGGTGTCACGCTTCAGTTGGAGTTGATTGCCTCCTCGTAGACACAGTGCTACTCTGGCCATGATAACTATCCCTCCATTACCAACTCTGTCCCCTCCTGAGATCTGATGATTATCCTCCTAATCTGTCTCATAATGCCGCCAGGGTTATTCCAGACTAAAGTCTGCCTAACGATGCTCAGTTTCCTGTGGATTACTGCAGTTCTCTGAGCTCTGTGATGTCCTCTGTGGGGCTGAAACAAGGAACTCTCCACGCAGAAAGTGCTAAAGCAGTTTGATAACCATCAAAGGCCCCAGCAGTCATGAGATGTGATCAGTTATTTGAAAAACATATTGACCATACTGCTGCTATCAGCCTCCACCAGACACCATCCTCACCACACAGAGAGGGAACACAGAGCTGATCATGTCTGTCAGGAAAGAGGCACATCGGGGAATCAAGTAAACAGAAGACTTATTTGTCTCAGGGCAGATTCTTCATCGAAGGGAAATGCAGATTATTTCAGAGCTCGGTGTTCTGTGTCTGTTCCCGCCATGTGATTTTGTGTGATTTTTGTGCTTTTTCAACTTCCCCAGGCATGTAGCGTGAAGCTTGTGAATCCTCTCTTTAGTCTGGGGTGCTTGTTCATATTTGGAAGCTGTCAGGGTATAACAATAGAGAGCAGCAGCAGCTTTAATTTTAAGCTACAGCGGATGTATCCAGTTCAGGTACTGAGAGGAGCTGCTTGCTGCTGCAAAATACTCCCGAGATTACTGCCACTTCTCCTTGTTATGCAATTTTGTTTTGAAGAAGTTTTAGGGAAGAGAAACTTTCTTCTTATATCTTTTGCTGTCTCACTGCAAACTGAGTATAGTGACGTTCTCTGTGCTGGAAGTCCAGAATACTTAAAAGGGCTGCCTGCTCTTCCTTTTTCTCCCCTGTATAGAACCTGACCTATGAGATTATACTAACGCTCGGCCAGGCATTTGAGGTAGCCTACCAGCTGGCTCTGCAGGCCCAGAGGACCAAACACCATAACATCCCAGTGGGCCCCGGTTCAGAGGTCATTGAGACCAAGTCCAGCCGACCTGTACCCAAACCACGTGGCAGTGTACGGAAGTCAGCGGTGAGTTGGAGTTGGAGTTGAACACAACATAACAAGACAGTACACACATAAATGTATGAACATGGTATGGAATTGTTCATTGGCAGTATGTTCATAGAGGTGCTTACGGCAGACTAATATAAGCTCTGCAACTGTAGTACAGTAGAGTGAATTTGATTGCGGGAAATTTGTCTTGGGCCCAGTGCTACAGTCTGTTGTATCTTAAAACATGAAAGAGACATTTGACAATACTTTTAACACTTACAACACGGCGGCTTAAAAAGAGATTGTAAGAATTAAGGTGCTAAGTGCTAAAGAGTTGGTTTATTGCACATTGGACTAAGATTTAGTGCCTGTGCTGCGTAAGGTGAAAGGGACAGGTGTATGCTGGTGTTCTGAAAACAACAGGAACTTAATTATTGTAGTCTGACAGTCAGCAGTTGGAGAAGCAGCAGTGACACAGCTTATGGAGGCAATTAAGGTACTTTGAAACCCCTTGGTGCCTGTTTGTGGCAATTTGCATCAACATTTGAACTCCTTAAACATGTTTTTAGATTCAGAATCACTTTCCTGATTACATCATTAACTCAGATGTCCATTGCAGTGTCCATAAATCCACCTAGAAATCATGGAAAAAAAGAATCTTCCAAACTTGCTTTTGAATCATCACATTTTTAAGTTTTCAATATCAAAGTAACACAGGGATAGTTTTCTCTACATCAACGGGTACATTGCAAACAGGAACTGCTAATAGTTAATTTGGTGTACTTTTAATGGTGCCAATTTGCCAAATGTAAACAAATATAAAGACTAAAAAACAGGGCTCAAGTTGTGGCCAACAGACAGACCCCTCACAAAGGTCACATACTGAAGTGTTGCTGGAGTTTTGAACCCTTCAGACTACCTTTTCCATGAAGTAGGTGAAGTTGTGCAAGAAACTCTAAATCAAACTGAAACATGTCATTCATTCCTCATGTAATAGTTCAGCTTTGGGGGGAAACTCAAACTCCCACATTAGAGAAGTCTTAGAACATCCGTCTACAGCTTTTCACATCATTATAATTACACTGTGCTCATGTTTGTCTGGATTTTAGCGTTAAACCATTAAGAAAGTGAGCTTGAGCTGAATATAAATGAGGTAACTACGCCTCAGGGACTAGTCACACATATCCAGCTGCAGCTTAAGGAACTCAACAGAATCGTGTAAGAACAGGATGTGTACTGTCACTCCTTGTGTGTCTGCCTGTGTTCCCCCCTTTGATATATACATTTTCTGTCTTAGATATATACATTTTACAGAAACGCCCTGTCCAACACTGCCACAGTTACACACCCCCACACCCATTAGCTGCCCAGTATATAACCACAGTCTGATCTGTGTTGGCTGTAACAGATCAGACTCCTCCTGTCTCATGCTACTCAAATCTTTGTCAATTTCTCTCTCTTTTATTCTCTCTCACTCCCTCCTTCTGTCTGTTTGTCTTGTGGTCTTTCCCTTCATCTTCTTCTCTCTTTGTCTTTTCTTCTCTCTCCTCCTGGCGGTGTTTATCTCTCCCAGGACTCTCCTCCTCTCGACAGTCGTTGCTGTTACTGTTACACCTGCACCACCCACCGTCCCTCCTTCCTACCGCTGCACTCTGCCAGCCCTGCTGCCCAGGTGCTGCCTTCACATTCTTGTCCCATTTCCATCCGCTCACTTTTTCTGCCTTCCTGTTTTTTTTTTATTGTTGTTTTCTTCCTCTCACTGCCTTAAAAATCTTCCATTTGTGTCTTTAAACCATTTTTCTTTGTGAATTTATATTGGTGTTATTGTATGTTTTATGGTTGTAGGAAAATATATATGAGCTACCCCTTCCTAAACCCCTTCCTACACGTAGCCACATGTGGATTGATGCTTGGAATATTACTTTTGACTCAGGCTCCTCCTAGTGACAGTTTGGTAGTAATACAAGCAAGGTTTTACTCACAGAGAAGCCCATTCAGTGCCAGTACAGACTTCCTGTGTTAAAAGTTGAGCTTGAAAGTTTATTCTTGACCTTGAAAACAGCAGTTGGTTACTGGTACTTAATACTAATTTAACTTTGTTCTGACAACATTTTGTAAACTGCTGTTTTCAAGGTCAATAATAAACCTTCAAGCTAAACTTCTAAGACAAGAAGACCTAAAAGTATACTAAGTAAACTATGTTCAATGAAAACTGAGCAATTGTCTGCTGATGAGGACCATGCAATATGAAAGTTGAAAGCTCCAAAACAAGCTAATAAATGAGACTGATGATGAGATTGTCAATTATCAAATTCACTTTGTGTAAAGGGGAACATGTTGGATGGGACATAACTTCAAAAGACAGATATGACACGGTTTAAACTAGATTCATATATCATTATATAAACATTTAGTAATTGATTTATAACACTTATACTTTATAATGTATAAATATTATAGCTGTATTATAACTTCTTCTATGAAGACATATTTTTTTATACGTGCCCACAAGAGGGAGTTACAGTTGTTTACAAATACACTGATAAACTGATAAAGAACCAGTTGGTAAATGTATATATACTGATTATAAATGCTAAAAAGGAAGGGTTACAATATAGTGTTACCAATGATTGTAAAAACAGGCCGAGCTTTATGGGTACATTTTAGGTAAAATGTCAACACAAGACTTTGTGGCCTGTTGGTGAGAAGATTATATTATCACAGTGTATATAAGACTATACAATAAAACATTAACCAGATGGGTTAATCTGTATGTAAACACAGACACTGGAGTTTATTTTGAAGCTCCTTTCTCTGTTATTCCGTCCAATCTGTATTTTAAACGAGTTAATGACTTGAGGTCCACTGCTGTTGAGAGGCAGAGAGTTTGATGCCCTCTGTTTGTGTTTACAGGGGGACATTGTGGAACAGGAGGGGGATTCCCAGTCCCAGGGCAGCACCACGTGGCTCGTGGACCCCAAGGAATCCAAGCGCACTATCAGCACTAAGTACGAGACCACCATATTCTGAGTGGACCCCTCTTCCTCCTGACCTCTGGGCCTGGTCTCACCCCTCTACCCTTCCCTCCTTTTGTGTGCCTTTCACTGTGACTCTTGCCTCTCTCTCTCTCTCCCTCTCTCTCCCTCTCTGGGCCGGAACTCTGCCCTCCTTCATCTCCCCTTCAGCCGTCACTTGTGTTCCCATCTTAAAACAACACAACCTGCGACAGACTGCTTTGCTCCTCCCTTGTGCTGAACCACCTCCACGTCTACTCTTTTTTATATTGATTATTAGTGCAACCCTTCTACTTTTCCAATCCTTTTCCAGCTGGTATCACTCACACTACCAACCTGCCACTCACCTTCACCACTGTTATTCACCTCTCTGTTTACCTTGTATGCTCCCTGAACTGTGTGTACAATGCTTCCCTTTCTTTCCTCGTCAACATCCCACTATTGACTCTTGGTGATAAGCTCTGTTTTTTTTCTTGGTGCTTTTCCTGCTCTATTAGGCGATGGCCACTCTGAGGCTTTTCACTCTGATCTTTCAACTCGTGACTTCTCCGAGTGCCGAGAAAATCTGACATACCACAGCCGAGAGCGACCCAATGCACACATCCTGTACCTGGATGGACATGAGAAACTGGTTCTGTAATTCTATGCTGGACAAATTTAGCAAAGTTTCTGTCCAGTGGAGTTCAGAGGTTGTGGTATTAGAGTGGTTACACTGGATTAACTAAGGGGGTTATTTTTCACTGTCAGCGGTCTGCTTGAAGCCAAAGGAGGCTAAGATCCTAGCACTGTGATATGGTCCTTTTTGGAGCTAGTGAAGTAAGCATTTTGGGGGATTTTCTTGAGGGGAACAGACTAGGGCACAGAGGCTGATATCGGTAGTGGTCCTCGCTGCTCCAGAAAAAAGACCAAAACGTCTTAAGCCTGGCATGCCCTCTTCTGTCTGTCTATCAGAGCACCAGGAGTTAAACCTGATGCTTGCTTTGGCGTGAACTAAAACTAAGCACTTTTACCAAATCCAAATATCAATCCCCCAAGTGTGTAAGAAGAAGTGCATCTTCCTTTGTCCTGTCTTTTTTTTATCTTCTTCACAACAAATGCCTTCTATGTTCATCCTGACAGCATTGCCTTTTGTTTTATCACACAAGTTAAAATGTAATGGCTTCTGGAGTTAATCATTATGAGGGGGAGTAATCCATCACCATCACACTGTTTGTGTCCATTAGTTCCGTGTTATTTTTACTTTATTTTAACCTTACTGCTTTGTGTGCATGTGTCTGTGTGTCCCTTCCCTATAGCTGAACACTGTGGCCACTCCCAGCCAGTAAGAAAGGACAGGAATGAGCCCTGTTGCATGGTGGGTAGGATGTTTTGTTGGAAAAGTGACCCACTTCCCATGCAGAAAGATCACACCACCAGTTGGATCGGGCTCACCACGGTAACACTCGAGGGCAGGGGGGGGGCCTGGAGACGTTAACAGACGTAAAGCTTTCAACACTGCACGACCCATCACTTCACCCGACCTCGCCGACTTCATCACTGCACATTCACACGTCTCCATTTAGCCTCTTGTCTGTCAGAAAGTGATGGTTTTCCCAGTCAGATGTGTTTGTCATGCTTTTTGCATTTCCTGAGAAATGAATGGTTGCCTCCTAACACCGATCAGGCCTCCCTCATAAAGAGTCACTGTTTACCTTTTTCAGCAAATGTACCTGCGAAGTTTCAATGCAGAACTTGCTGTTAAAGAGGAAGTGGCTGAGATGAGGAACATGTTTTCTTTTTTTTTTTGTTATGCTACAAAGGTACATCAGACAGAGACCTCACACTGTAGGTACACAGTCCTTCCTGGATCATTCGTCCTGTATCCACACATTGTAGCGTCTCTTTATCCACCACATACTGTATATGTATAACTGTGATAAACAATGTAATCTTGCACGGGAGGAACTCTCTAACCAAACTCAAAGGGCAGAGGAACTGACACTACAAAGACTGTTTTATAATAATAATATAACGGGGTGGCTTTTATTTTATTTCAAAGTTGTCCCTCTTGTCTGTTTTTTTTTGTATGTTTTAATTGTTTTATAGGACAATTACGTGTCCTAATGCTGGAACTGGATCAGGTGCGGTTCATTGCAGTTCTTCCCTGCGCCTTTGTTCAGTTAATCTAAGCAAGATTATTCACCAAACCTGCCATGCAGGCTGGTATGTCTTTAGATTTTAGCTGCAGAACAGAACAATAGGACACAGCATGTTTCTCCTAGCTAACTCCCAGTATGTTGACTGTTAATGGTACTTCTTGGTCAGCCAATGTGTATATGGGTTCATAGTCAGGTGGTTTTGATTTAACTGTTGTATATGTGGTACGCTGTCAGGCCAGTATGATAACTCTATGGTACACTGTCATTAGTTCGCTGGTGTCGGCACCTTCAGCCATCAGCCTGGTCCCGTTCTGCTTTTGCACATTGCTGAGGATCAGGAGAGATTTTTCGGGACTAATCTGATGACAACAATGATGAGAATGATATTGTACATGAAACTAGCGGTCTGTATTTTGATACTTGAATGATTTTTGCTTTTATAGATATCTATATATATATATATATATATATGATATATATATGTATATATCTATATATATATATATATATCTATATATATATGTATATGTATGTATGTACGTATGTAATTTTTGACGTTTGTCAAAAGAGAGAAAAGGACTATGTCTTATAAAGTTAAACATATCGTGAATAAATACCCTGTGATAAAAAAAAAAAAAAAAAAAGGCTGAGAAAACAATGACTCAGAAGAGGGACCTCACTTCAGAAAAAATATTGTAAATAATCTTGGGCTTCCAGTCTTTTTTATGATTATTTTTCATAATTGTACAACTAATAAATGGCGCAATTAGAAATGCTGTCCCTGTTGACTCCTTATTTGTCCATTCGCAGATCTTGTTTATGTCACTTTTTGCCTTCTTTTTCACAACTTTTCAGTTGTGTCAGTTTTTTTGACAACCTGCAGTTCTACAGCAGGTATCACAGCCCGAGGCAGTGCTGTGTATTGATGCCTTTTAGAGTGTCTCGATTTGTCAGATGGTAAACAAGGTCGGTGGATGTGCCAGGATGAAATGTTTGGTCTCCACCCTCCATTTCATAAACCTTTCTCTGCTGAAGGATGGACAGCAACAGTTCAGAGACAGGGAGGTCTAACAGAACAGGAGATAAAAGGACACAAGCTGACAGTAAAATATCATCAAAGCCTCTTCTGTCAGTCTGAACAGCAGGCTACTGCAATAGGAACTGGCTGCAGTGACATTAATAGTCCTGAAAACATTTTATAAGGACAAACATGTTTCTACAATGTATTTCTTTGCATTTAAATTCATTTTCCAGCATTATACAATTACCTCTAGTTAAGGGTATTTTCTTGCACACTTCCCTTACCCTTTGTACATCTGTTTAGAACTTTAATACTGTTGTGACTTTACAAGTCTGAAACTTTAAGAGCCACTGTATTGATGTGTCATATTATTAGCTGAGATTAATTCAAATATTGTACTTTTTTCAAATTGCCGCAGCTCCAGGTTGTTTATTGACATTCTTTTTTATCTTTGTTCGAAGGCAAACATAATTTTTCTTTTTTTTTTTTTTTCTTGTGAACATGTCAATAACAACTCATTTAGAAGTGGCCTCAAAATAATTCTACAGTTTGTACATGTATACCGGTAAATAAATGGTAAGATCCTATTTATGTTTTTATGAACAACTCCTAAGGCTGAGTTCTGAACACTTGCAGCTCATAGTAAACAAAATATACATGGATTAAGACAGACAGTCTTCTTGTGACAATAATGTGTATCTGACTATTTCCACATTAAAATCCTTAAAAATGCCTCTACTCCTACCTCATTAAAAATTCCAAAATCTATGAATATGCGAATGTTGTTTATTCCCACAATTGTCCTGCTCTACACAAGATGTCTCTACTCCACTGTTCATTCTCAAAGTATGTACACTGGTGCCAGACTTACAAATTATTTGTGAGGCCACAAATCTTGCTTGTAGGCCCCGGCCCTTAATATCAGATTTTCAATGAGCACAGAGAAACTTTCCACTTTCAGCAGATGAATGTAAAAACATCGTTCTAGTATCAAACTCTGCACATACATCATTCTGCACAGTGAAGCTCAAACATCCAAATGTAGGAATGAGAAGTAAAACATCTTTTTGAGTTGATCTATCTATCTAATATATCTTATTTTGTTCAGTCTTCTGATAGTTATGCAGTAGAGGTGCTGATAGCCATAAAATGTTTTATACTGTCTGTGACACTCTTTGGAAAACAGGAAGAAGTTACCATACTGCTGTAAAAGAGTTTATTGCTTGAGCTACAAATGATAAAATACACTGGTAGAGGTAAAGTGAGATTGTTACATTTAACTTTTAATCATTACACTACTGTAAATGTTTTGTTGCTAAGTAGCAAAATGCACTCTATGGCCAAACATGTGTGACTTTACCTTTAAACCATGTACACTAAAGCTGCATCGGACTGTATCTTTGATAGAACTGCTGGTATGCAAACAATGCACTTTTTGTAATGTGACGTCCTTGGCCAACATGAAAACATGAAGAGGACAACAGATCAGGTAATGATAGGATTTTAAACATCTGCTAATTTTCATAGGTATGCAACAACCGTCACAGATACATGCTGCTGTTCCTGGAAAACAGATCAACGTGTGCTGATTGTGAGGCGGATATCTGCAAATAGACGTCCTTAGTTCTCCAACTCCAACATGCAAAAAACTGACAGACTCCTGACAGCGCCCAGCCTGTAAACAATGAAATAAAATGAGTAAAACAAGCTCTGTTTGGATTTGTTTTTTAGGATACATGAATATAAACAGGACAGACTATTATGGTACCACTTTCTTTCTTTTTTGGGGGGGATGGGGCTTTATTAGACAGTTGAAAATGACAGAAAAGAGGGGGGATGACATGCAGCAAAGGGCCACAGGACGGACTCAAACCAATGGCCACTCATAAGAACAGTTTTGGTGTTACCAGGTTGTGAAAAACCCCCTTGGCTGGTGTGCATCCTTTCTTTTTGGGAAAAATGCAGTTATAAATGTAATCCATTAAAAAATACTGATCAGTTTCTGAGTTTCTCATAAGCCAACAAGTCTGTGACTATAAATTTTATTACACTGCATCTGTAAATGTTAATAACTTGTTAACAATACAGTACACTGGGGGTTCTTTCTGAGAGCTACAAAAGACTAAATAAGTGGTGACAAACAGCCGAATGGGTTTTTCACAATATTGCTCTTATTAATGGCTTTTTGCTGACTTAAAAGCATTAGTAAACTATTTATTAACCATAATAAATGGTACTGATCTTTTATATTGACACTAATTTTGAACTGAAGTGACCTCATGGCTGATGTACAGCATTACAGTTTAGAACTGAATGATTTTTAGTCATGCTAGCAGTGTCGGTCCATCGGTTCATTGCTTTGGTCGAGACTGAAATATCTCAACAAAATATTGAATGGATTGCCATGAAATACTGTACAGACATTCATGGCCCCCCAGAGGATGTGACTTTTCCTTTAGTGTCACTGTGAAGTTATATCAACAGATCTCCATAAATATGGGATAGATTGCTGTGAAATCTGTCTCCACTGATAATTAGTAAATGTTTTTATGCAAACTAGCTTTTTATTTTCTCTGTTTTGAATATACATTTAGACTTTTAAATGGCAAAAGAAGAATTTCATTGTGCAGAAAAAATGTTTTTCACTGTGCATATGACAATAAACACTCTGACTTAAGATGGTGAACATGTTAAACACTGCAGGCCTACCTGCTTAAGATCAATATGCTAACATTGTTATTGTGAGCATGTTAGCATGCTGAGGTGACACCTCTGTGTCAGTCATGTTGAATAAAAAAGAAAAAAAATATTTCCAAAATTCAAACAATGTAAATCCTCTTTCATTATTCCTAATCTGTACATGCAATATATGAAGCCTTTGACTCTTTTTTATTTAAATTTAATTTAGTATGAGTCATATTTTTGTAAAATATCTCAACTTTTGCTGAATAAAAACTGATTTTATTCCCCCTGGGTTGCGTTCATTTGGCTGCTGTTTTTCCATTGGCTCTTCCTTGGAAACGTCTTGCCCAGACGTTCGCTGATTGGCCACACACACCAACCTGTCCTGAAGCTAATTGGCTCACCTGGCTGCAATTATTCCACACCTAGTGACTTCTGCTCGGGAAGTTTGACTTCCAGGAACAGTGCAGCTGCAGGACTCGGAGAGGAGAGAGGCGCACCGCCGCTATGGACTGAGACCTGAAAATACGCACAGCTGTACGGTTCCATTCCTCTGACATCTCCGGTGAGTTTATCAGGAAATCTGCCTGAAGTTGAGTGCGCTGTTTGTTCCTGCTTTATTCATGGATTCAGAGGAGTTGGAAGTTATGTGGAAAAAAGTGGTTTAGTTGTTTACAAAACATCTGTGCTTGTCTTGACAGTGTAACTAGCCTTGTTTAGACTGGGTGTGTGTGTGTGTGTGTGTGTGTGTGTGTGTGTGTGTGTGAGTGTGTGAGTGAGTGTGTGAGTGGAGAGAGAGAGAGAGAGAGAGAGAGAGAGAGAGAGAGAGAGACATTTGTAGTTATACTTTTCTGTGCTTTTATTGTATTCCTTCCTGTAGCTGATGAGGTTTTACGAGTGTGAATGACCCTGTTAGAACAGACAGTCATTGTCTGTCACTCAGCAGTCTGGGCTGAAATGGAGGGGAAGTTGAGTAAAACCCTGCCAGTGTTAGAGGCACTTCTCCAAATTATGACCACCATTACTGATCACTTTTAATGCTCTATGGAATATTTCCATTGGTGACACATTGATCAGAAGTGTTTAATCATTGAATATTTGGTGGCTGGGTGAGTAGAGGTTGAGTCAGAGAAAGTACAAATATTTGCACCTAAATGTCAATAATAGTCATTTTATTGGGACAAGGTGCCAAGCTAAACATTAATGAAATATTTCTGTTCACTCCAGCAGGTTGTGAGTTGCACAACCAGGTGTTCACCATGAACTTTTGTTTACTGTTAATCATTAAACCAGCTGCCTGGCTGCCCTTGAACACATACTTCACTTTTTTTGGACCCATTTTTTATTAGCACACACTATAATTTGTCATCATAGATGACATGTAAATAATTATTTCTTGGATTGTAAGTCTGGCTCATAAACTGTGCAGCTGTTCTCACAGTAAACACATTAAAGAACTGGAGCCGATCCTCCCTTTTTATAGTTTAAAGCAGTTTTATCTGCTGAGCTGTAATTCAACGCCCAGTCACATCAGAGCGCTCGGCTGAATTTAGAGTGAAAGAGTCGTCTTAAAGACATGGAAGCAAGCAAAGTGACATTCCTGTCACTATTAAATCCTGACTCAGCTGTGGGTGTAGTGATCTTTCCCCACTGCTGCCCTACAGGTTTGAGAGGTGTTGGCTGCTCAAGCTTGGACATTTGTTTCTCACTCTGCTGATGTGAATGGGCTAAAGGGAGGGACAGTAATTAGCCGCTATTAGAGCTTTCTCAAGAAGGCCAGTGGGTGCTTTGTCAACCTGCTTTTGTTGCCAGAAAACACGTGTGAATGTGGGTGTTGGTGATCAGGTTTTTCTCCAACTGTCCTTGTAACGTCTTCATGCCAACAAGTCTAAAATTGCTCTTTGCCAAGTGCTCCAGAGTAGTGGCTTCCAACCTGGGCTATATCCTGAAATACATCTGAGCTCTTTCTTGTCATTTTTGAAACTTTAAATTCATTATCTTAAAACAAGTTAAATAAATTTGCCAGTAAAATCAAAAATCAGTTTGTAAATCTAAAAAATTTTCTTCATA